GAGTCAGACTTGGCTGTGGGTCAAAACCCTGTACCCCTGGTGAACATCAAAATAGGTAGTACATGGGTGTTCATCCGCGCCAACATGGAGCCATAGGTATGACCCATGGGCACTGAACGGATGGGAATGTCGCAGTTGGCAGTTGGAGCGGTGCCGCCAGTCAAAGATGATCCGCCTTGGAGCACTGGATGTGGTTCTGAAGCTCTTGGAGCCGGAAACTCAGGACAGAGATGCTGACTCAGCGGGTTGCACACGACTCATGAGGTCTGTCCGGAAGGAGGAGGGTCCTGGCACGTCCGACTGGCCGCTCCCTTACATGCTCAACAATCCAGCACATTTCAACCTCTGAATTCAGGTGCAGATTGGGACCTGGCGACGGACCTGACACTCCCGACTTTTCCATCGAGGCGGGGGGCTGTTTTTTTTTTTGCGGTAGCATGTCCGACCTCGTGAGCGCTCAGTTCACTTCTGCACTGCTGATGAACCTCACTCTCCGCTCGGCGGGACGAAGGCGGTTTCCCTCTCAGGCTGTCAGCTGCTAGGTTGATGCAGAGACAGAGAAAGCGAGAGATCTCCCTCGCTGCAGTGATAAGTATTGCCCTGCAATTGACGTGGAACGTAAAGATGGTGCCCCATCAAAAACGAGTTTCCCAAAAAATATTGTTTTTTGGGAGTTCAATGCTAATGCAGCGACGAAGGGACAGGGCCGCTTGCACACGTGAGCTGCTTGCACACGTGGCATGACCTTTGCCCTGAGGTGTGCTGAGCTTGGTGCCTATTCCGTGCTGGTGGGACTCATCGAGCACCCGAATCCACAGGCCTGGATCTGCGCAAAGCAGCTGATGCTCACCATGCTTTCAAAAAATGTCCAGTCTATAGCCCAAATCGCCAGTTTTCACAATGGCCATGGTTCAAAACCAACGGTACCACTTTGGGATAGGTGCACCACCCATCTTAGTCTATTTTAGTGGGGATTGGGATGTTAACTGAAAAGTAACCAGGGTTTTGACCCATGGCCAAGTATGGTGACTGCCTATTTTGTTTGACCCATTCCCAGGTGCGAACGCACATCAACGGCACCCTCTACACGCTCCTCGGGGCGCCTCAGCTTCGATGTCGCCCGTCGGAAGCGGCGGAAGCTCGGCGAGTCGCGCGCGGGGAGGTGAAGGCCATTCGCGGCGAAGCACAGCGCCAGGGCGCGGAGGCGCTTCCGCTCACCGCGCTGGCCATGGGTCAAAACCCAAATGGTACCCCCCGTGAACATCCGATTCAATCCAACCACTAAAATAGGAAACCTAAAATGGTGAATTCCAAAATGGGATCCCATTGGTTTTGAACCGTGGCCACATGGGGAAACCTCAAAAGGGGCAGACTCCCTAGAATTTGAAACAGCCCAGATGACGCATGTAATTGACATGTGCGACAAGATAGACAGATGGATGGATGGATTGACAGATAGGTAGATAGTTAGATAGATAGATACGATGGTCATTGCAAGGCAGAGTGATGAGAAAGTATTGTTGGCACTTCGGAACTGCTTGTGGTGCCCCGTTAGAACCACGCTGAGAGCGCATCAAACTCGAAGTGCGACGCCTGAGATGTTGCTTGTTACCATGTCAGGCAGTCTTCCAGTCTGCGCCGTGCTGGCTTGTGAGATGGATGCTGTTGGCTATTGGATAGCATTCCCAGAGGGTCCAAGTCCCTCATATTTTGCGGATTTGAGGAAGCTGTAATTGACGAATCCCCTTGAACCAAACCCAAAGCCGTACATATGGGGTACTTAGGAGGTTCTCAAGCTCCATCGAGTTGGAAGCCAGGTTGGAAAGGGTCACGCCAGAGAACGAGCTGCTGCAGAGGCTGCTGGTAGATGGAATTCAACATGAAACACTCCACTGCGCCCAAGTGGGTGTGGCTCAAAATTAAACCACCAGGTGACCGCAGGTTGTAGTTGAAGTTTCCATTTACAAGGGTTCCATTTTGGGTGCATATTATTGATCCACAGCCAAGTTTTGACGAACCCTTGCCTTGGTCGACTGGACGAGGCAGTTGGAGTTTCTCCAGCATCAACTCCACCGCAGCGATGGCGATAGCGACGAGGACCGATGGATTCGGGCAGTTTCAAGTTGCGGCAAGGGAAAGCATCGCAGGAATCTGAAGAGGGAGATCCCTCACCAGAGGCCAGGTCTGAATTTGAGCAAACATCGTGCCGGCCGTCTCACACACTGAATTGAAAGGGCGATGCCGACGATGGTGACAACTTCCTAGATGAAGAGGCGGCTTTGTTCTGACTAGGTCCCCAGGTGAAGGCTGGACATGTTCCTTGGAGGAGCTTGCCGCACACTTTCACCTTGCTTCTGTGGCAGCCGTTGGGCAAGGCCTGGTGCTCCAGTGCCTTCACTTCTGGTTTCCCATGAGCGGCTGTGAGCAGATCGTGATCCGAATGTCTCAGGTGACGGCTTCTCTCCGGCTGAGATCGAGGCCAATGCAAAAGCTGCTGCTGCAGAAGCAGCAGCTGCTGAGGAGGCCATGAGTGCCTGCCACGCCATGTGATGGGCGTGACACGCCGTCATCATATTGAGCCTTGATATGCCTTGATTTCATGCTGAACCCCATCCGCGACTTGAGGCCTTAAGATGCTTCCGCGCCACTCCTGCAGTGGCAGACGCCCAGCAGCGTCGGCTTGAACCCAAGCGTAGACACGATGCGTGAGTCCGCCTTGTACCTCTTACACCTTGCTTGCACTGAGGTTTCATGCCTTCATCGCCAGAAGTTGCAGAAACCTCATGTCTCCAAAGAGGCGGCAAACGAGGCTGGACATGAAGCCCTGCTGATTCCTTTGTCCCAGGCGAGGGCATTCCTTCGACCGAATGTCGCCGCTCTCACCTCCCATGCTCTCGCCGAGCTCGTCACCGGAACCTGGCAGGGGCCTCAGGAGCCGCTCCTTCGCATGGGGTCGATGCTTTCAGTGGATCAGGACAGCCTGCCAAAGTTGCGGAGCCGCGGGAGCCCTGATAGATTGCTTGAAGGCCCTCATTGCCGCTTCAGCTTAAGTAAAGCTGTGCAACATCAAGCAATGGGTACTGTATTGGCAAAAAGGAGTGAGATGCTTAAGTGCCCCATTTTCCACTATGGAGCGCATCGATAAGCGCTGAGTTGTTGTACCCTGATACAGCACATGAGGCCAGTGACGGTGACAATCTCGCCGGAGATGCATGAGGCAGCCCAGAGGAGTTTCAAGAGCCTAGCGGAAAACAAAGGCAGGTGAGGTATAAAAGCCTTGTGACCACAACGGCCTGTTTTGGAGGTTCAAGCACAGGCACCCATTGCATTCCATTCCCTGACCTGCTGACCTTGCAGGCTCCTGGTTTGGTGCCAGAGGCTCCCAGTGACAAGCCGCGAGCATAGTTTGCCACGAGTAAACCAAAGGGTCCTTTGGCTCTCAGCCGGTGGGCCGCTTGCAGCTTCAGGTCACCAGATCCACTTGGATCCCTGTCGCCAAGCACTGGATCGCAGCCACAGTCAACTTCTTCCAAGTTGGAGGCACGCCGTGCATGTTTATCGCATGAGATCAGCTCTGAAACATTGGCGGATCAGTTCCTTGACGACTCCAAAAACGGTTTTAAGATAAGTGTTCAGGATTCAATAAGGGCAAATTGGATCGGGAACTGGCCGTTTGGGCCAGCTAGGCAACATTGGATTGCAAGATTGTGTGTGTGTGTGTGTGTGTTTCCCTTCGGTGATGTGGCTCAGAGATTGGGCTGACTGTACTAGATTGAAGTCCACAAGGATCTCCAAGTTTTACAACGCGTTATTTTTTGTTTTCCCCGACCGACCAGACTGGTTCCTGATCCTTTGTGTGTGTGTGTGTATTGATTGTGGATGGTGTGTGTGTTGATTGTGTGCAAGCAGTGTAAAGGCTTCTTGTGCCAAAGCCGCAAGTATCGGCTTGCTTTTGCATGCTCTCCGGCAAATAGAACATCCATTGAATGGTGTGTTGGTGTGCTTGTTCGAGTTTTCATTTTTCAGAACCTGGTGAACTGACATGCTGGTGGTATCAAGGAACAAGTAGTGTACAGAGACACGATTTCTCTTGCGGGAGCCAATGGTGGTGGGTGTCAGTGCGCATGTTAGTTGTACTCACGGCAGGAAGCGTCGTGTGCAGGTTTCGCCGCAAAGAGGATCGGCAAAAATGACTGAAGGACTCGGGATCAGTGGGCTGTTGCATGCACACCCGAAACCCAAAATCCTCACTGGCTTCTTGAGCTCATAATCTGCATACACCTTCTAACAAAGCAATCAATCTCAGGACTCGTAAACCACCAGAGAACGACTAGGCACATTTGGACATGGGTGTGTGTGAGGGCACTCTTTTTTGGGTTGGTTTGAAGGGACACTAAACACCATTTCTGGGTGGTTCCCCTATTTTATGACATACCCATATCACGCATGCCACATGCTTTGGAATGGGATGAGGAACGCTGCAAAGCTTCAGGAGTTCTGATGAAGGCTGCGGAACAGGCGAATCGGTCGGAGCGCGGTCAACGGCCACCACGCCTCGACCTTAAGGCTCGTTTGTGCTGGGGCATATGGACAAGCCCGGTGCCCCTTCAAATGATGGGTTTTTGCGCTTTGAGACCGCCATGTGTAGCTTGGCTCAGCTGTGTCACCATGGTTGCAAATTACGCCCACATGTCCAACAGCAGACAGAGCTTGTTTGACTGCATGTTGCGCTTCAGGTCAACCGTCCGTGGATGAAAAGTCGCCCAATCGCCGCCCGGCATCAAGGCGTGGCAGAATGGTGGCCGATCGGCAGCTTCGGGCCGATCGGCTCGCCAGGCCGAACGGCGATTCAGAGGAAGGCGTAGGACCGGCAAACGGGAGGTGGTTGACATCACTTCCAGTGCTCATTTGGGCATGGTGCTTCCCCACTAGAAATGGTTATATAACCCCATAAGGCTGGGTGAATTATAGCGAGGTCACCCGACCTCCCCGTGAATTCAACCTAACAATCCTGAAATAAGGGTGTGGGAGAAATCCTTTTGCGGCTGCTTAAATACGCAATACGTAGTGGGCTGGACCCCCTTCCGCCTCCATGATTGCTCCGTGGAGCCGCGGTTTGGCGTGCAAACTGCGCGGTGCGTCGCCCAAAATTCCACTTCCGGCAGGTGCAACCTTTTAAATACGGGGTATTTAAGGAGTTGCCGCCCTGATCCGTGTAGAGCGCAGCAGTGCCAAGACCCAATTTACTTCAGATCGACCTTGACATAAAGACTTCGACCTAACGACCTAGGAAATATAATGATTCACTCAGATAAAGGGGTGGTCGTTGACATCACTTGGAAATGGTGCTTCCCCACTGGAAATATTAGAAATGGTCACCCCCATAAAGGGGCTTTCTTGTCTACCAGGTCACTGAACAACTGACCGGACAAAGGTTCAAATGGCCCCGGTGGCTCAAAGGACGTGGGAAGGGTCGTGGCCGCGGCCGTGGCAAAAGCCTTGGCCGGAATTGGAGGACGGCATGTCAAGAGCAGGGAGGGCAGCTTGGTATGCGTGAAACATGTTGTCATCTGGTTTTCAAACAGGCATTTATACTTGTCATTACCTCTAGTAGCCTGTATCCTTCTGAAAGCCCAGATATTAGGCAACTCGACATGCTCCTAGGTTCCAACACGGTGACAAAGTCAGCCTCCTTGCCTCCATTGCCGGAGAGCAAGGCGGGATCCATGCGCCATTTTCCGAGTCTTCTGCGGCTGGGCCTGTGTGCCAAGGTGGCCGGTGGGCGATCGCAGCTCACTCAGCGTTTTGCAATCCTACGTCCCTCGTGTCTGCGTGTTTCAATGTGGTATCAAGGTCGAGTAATCAAACGTCCTCCTCAAGGCCAGTCTAGATGTCAACATGACCTACGAGATGCTTGAAGCACAGGTCACGATCTGAAGCTCCAAAGCGTGGGCAGCAGGCAGCTGTGCGGTGTTTGAAATATTTTAGTCTCACACGAAGCAGTCCTTCCAAGCAGTCCTTCCAAGCACGAAGTGGGGCGTTGGGAGTCGGAGTGAGGCAGCAGCCGCAGCGATGTCAGCTGCTGTGGGTGGCCAGGAAGGAGGCTTCCGTCGACCCCGGCCGGCACCAAGCGAAAGGCCGGGGACAGTGGATGTAACTCTTGTGATGCGTTTGTTCTCACACAGTATTCAAATCAAAGGGCTGGGTTGTGCAAAAGAAAATCCTTCGGGTTTTCTCAGATGGTAGTGTGTTTGTCTTTCTTTATCGGCTTCCTGCTAAGATTTACGGATCCGAATTTGGCATCCGTTTTGAACCCGCCCAGGCCCTCGAAGCCGCGCACCTAGAGCCAATCCCTTCGTTTGATAAACAAAACTGGAGAGCCAAGGGAAGGAGCCTCCTTGCCGCAGCTGCCAAAGCGTCGCTGAGCCATGGGTGTCACTGGAGTGTGTCAAAAGGGACCCCCCAGCGCTTCTGGTGGTTCAATTGGAAGAAAACTTATCAGATGGGCGGGGTCCCAATCTGAGACAAACCGGTAGAGTGGAGGACAATGCACAACGCAGGGACACATGCAAATTGCATGTTGGTATCAGTGTCAAGGTCTCACCCGGTTGCATCTGACCGTGCCAACACGTGTCAGTCGCAGCTGAGAGCATTCGCCCGTTTTTGCTTTTTACCGGGCGGTGTTTTGTGCAAAGTGTGATGACGGGCGGGACATATCGAGACGCGTGTCAATGTACATAGCCGAGGCCGTGTCGCTTCTCGCCGGAGTGAATATGGGAGCAATGCAGGTTCTCCAATGCCTGCCACATCCGCAATGATTCAAGCGAGCATGACAAGGAAGTGCAACTCTGCCGGCCGAAGTCAACGAACCAACTTGGTAGTTCGTTTGGTCCTGCCCTTGCTCCGGGTGCAGCCCTTAGCAAGTCAGGGTCAGACATTGATACTGGATGTCCTGCTGCAGGATCCTCATAGCCACGAAGAGAATGCGCAACGACTCGCGGCAACGGGAGGCTCAGGGATTAGATAGCCCCACATGATTTCAAATGTAGGGTCCAGTAGATTGCAGTGAGTTCTCAGCAGAGTCCAGGTGTCTTTTTTTGTCTATGCTAAAGAGATCTAGAGAGAGTTCGTCAACCCAACACCTGCGAGGTCAAATTGACACGTGTGGCAGCTGCCGCTGCCGCGAGCAGCGTGTTTGCAGGTGCTTTGGGCTTAGCTGGAGACGAGTTCTGGTGCGGCCCTTTGTGGGCGTGGTCATAGTGGTTAGTCACGAGCTTAATTTCACATCAAGACGGCCAGCCTTTGTTGATTGCAAAAATCCGGGGGGGGGGGCCGTTGACGGGGGGGCTGTCGACCAGCAGATCGTGTGCCACAGCACTTGCTCAACGCATGTCCGTTGCAAGGCTTTGACCTGGGCAGCTCCGGTGTCCGCACCACGAGGTTCCGCAGATCTTGGGGTCCCCAAACCGAGTCCCGCGAGTGGGTACACACACGCCCACTCGCTTGTTGGCACGTGCGCACTCTTTGAAACGTGAGCAGATTTGTCAAAGTGACACTTGTGCAGCTAAAAATATGAGGTGAGCACTAACGCTTGCACAGATGAAAAGCCATCGTTTGAGCACTGCTCATGCTTGACATGGAAAATTTGGCAGGGTGGCAGGTTGAAGATGAAAACATTCGATAGTATTTGTTCAAGGCAGTGCAATGGCTGTCAAGCGGTGTTTTGCGTGTCAGAAAGTAGGTGATATCATCGAATCATGCACCTGTAAACCAGCTCCAGAGATTCTGCGAATGTGGTAGCTCGTGCATGGATGTGCAAAATTAAAAAGTGTGCACAGTTTGCAGGCCACCCAGCTCCGCAGTAGCAGTCAAGTGGGTGTGGGTGCGTGTTGGTAGAACGAAGCAGTCGAGTGTGGCTATAACTTTGCTGACGGGTGTGAGGCCGGTAGCATGAAGCAATCGAGCGGGCGCGCTTATCATTTGACTGACGGGCGTGCAGTCGGTAGCACAAAGCGTTCGTGCGGGTGATTATCATTGGGCTGGCGAGCGTGCGGTCGTTGGCCCGAAGCAGTCGAGCGGGTATGCTTTTCATTTGGCTGGCTAGCGTGCGGTCAGTAGCACACAAGTACGCGAGCGGGTGTGATGTTATCATTTGGTTCGGCAGCACGAAGCAGTGGAGCGGGTTGGCTAGCGTTCGCTCGGTAGCAGGCCGCTATCCCCGATCAAACCCTCAATAAAGCCTTCGGGCTCATGCTGGGATAGGCCCCCTCCCACAGCCCCCGTTGGCGGTGCATGACTGGCTGACAACGGCGTTACAGACACACCTGCCAAGCCAGGTTTGACTTCATCCAACAGCCCGGCTTTGCATGAGAGTGCACCCTCCGAAGGACGACTTGCCCAGTTGATTCCCGGGTTAAGCAAATCAGCGTGCCAAGTTGGCATAGGAGCTGGTGCACAGCTTGGGTCTTGGACCACCAGGCAAGCCCTTGTGCACGAAGCTGAGTGTGGATCGTCGCCTTGGCCAGGCTGTTGGCCTTGTCCGGGAGTGCCGCAATCTTGGCGGGAGGCACGGCGAAGTACCGGCAATTGGCCATGATTGCGTGAAAAAGGGTCTTTTGGTCCACTTTCTGTGATACTAGACAATCTCTTTGAAGCTGAAAAGTAGGCCTAAGGATGGCCTGCATTCGTATCTCAGAAAGCTGTATTTCCAAAACCACGCAATTGGCTGTCAAATTTTGTGTGCCTTCCAGGCAGAAGCGCTCGATCACGCCAGGGAGCAGCAGTCTTGGTGAGATTTACGAAATCATTCTCGGCACTCGATGAAGAGTCTGCAAATGCCAGGTCTTGCTATTGTGGGGGTTTCTCAAAGTTGTGGACCCCTCAAGGTGGTTGGTTCCTCTTGGCTTCCCTTTAAAACCCATCCAGAAGAAATCCCCTATGTTGAGAAACACCCTCTGCATCGGTGAGGCCAGACCACTGGCCTCCACAGGCGGAGGGTCCACAGCTGCCGCTCACTGCAAAAGAAATCGCCAGGCACAGCGCTGAGGGACCCCACCAGCACCAGGAGCCGGAGCTCTGAGGGTGTTCACGGCGAAACCTGGAACAGTCACTTGAAGCCCAAGGGGCTGTGTGTGCGTGTGTGTTTGTTTGTGATTGTGGGCGGGTGGGAGTGGGTGGGTGAAAGTGGGCGGAAGTAGGCATAAGTGTGTGTCTCTGTGTGTCTCTGTGTGTCTCTGTGTGTCTCTGTGTGTCTCTGTGTGTCTCTGTGTGTCTCTGTGTGACTCTGTGTGTCTCTGTGTGTCTCTGTGTGTCTCTGTGTGACTCTGTGTGTCTCTGTGTGTCTCTGTGTGTCTCTGTGTGTCTCTGTGTGACTCTGTGTGTCTCTGTGTGTCTCTGTGTGTCTCTGTGTGTCTCTGTGTCTCTGTGTGACTCTGTGTGTCTCTGTGTGTCTCTGTGTGTCTCTGTGTGTCTCTGTGTGTCTCTGTGTGTCTCTGTGTGTCTCTGTGTGTCTCTGTGTGTCTCTGTGTGTCTCTGTGTGTCTCTGTGTGTCTCTGTGTGTCTCTGTGTGTCTCTGTGTGTCTCTGTGTCTCTGTGTGTCTCTGTGTGTCTCTGTGTGTCTCTGTGTGTCTCTGTGTGTCTCTGTGTGTCTCTGTGTGTCTCTGTGTGTCTCTGTGTGTCTCTGTGTGTCTCTGTGTGTCTCTGTGTGTCTCTGTGTGTCTCTGTGTGTCTCTGTGTGTCTCTGTGTGTCTCTGTGTGTCTCTGTGTGTCTCTGTGTGTCTCTGTGTGTCTCTGTGTGTCTCTGTGTCTCTGTGTGTCTCTGTGTGTCTCTGTGTGTCTCTGTGTGTCTCTGTGTGTGTGTCTCTGTGTGTCTCTGTGTGTCTCTGTGTGTCTCTGTGTGTCTCTGTGTGTCTCTGTGTGTCTCTGTGTGTCTCTGTGTGTCTCTGTGTGTCTCTGTGTGTCTCTGTGTGTCTCTGTGTGTCTCTGTGTGTCTCTGTGTGTCTCTGTGTGTCTTTGTGTGACTCTGTGTGTCTCTGTGTGTCTCTGTGTGTCTCTGTGTGTCTCTGTGTGTCTCTGTGTGTCTCTGTGTGTCTCTGTGTGACTCTGTGTGACTCTGTGTGTCCCTGTGTGTCTCTGTGTGTCTCTGTGTGTCTCTGTGTGTCTCTGTGTGTCTCTGCGTGTCTCTGTGTGTCTCTGTGTGTCTCTGTGTGTCTCTGTGTGTCTCTGTGTGTGTGTCTCTGTGTGTGTGTCTCTCTGTGGTGTCTCTGTGTACCTCTGTGTATCTCTGTGTGTCTCTGTGTGTCTCTGTGTGTCTCTGTGTATCTCTGTGTGTCTCTGTGTGTTTTTGTGTGACTCTGTGTGTCTCTGTGGTTGGTTGGTTGGTTGGTTGGTTGGTTGGTTGGTTGGGTGGGTGGGGTTGGTTTGGTTTGGTTTGGTTTGGTTTGGTTTGGTTTGGTTTGGTTTGGTTTGGTTTGGTTTGGTTTGGTTTGGTTTGGTTGTTTGGTTGGTTGGTTGGTTGGTTGGTTGGTTGGTTGGTTGCGAGGGTGCGAGGGTGGGTGCGAGGGTGCGAGGGTGGGTGGGTGTGGAAGGGTAGTCCACTCGATTTGGGACGGAAATGGCTTGGGAGTTCGAAAAGGTTTGCTCATGTTCGCTCAATCGTGTGGCGACTCTATTGTGACTTGCCTTTGAAAGCAGAACATTCAATCTACGTTAGAATCTAAAGCACAGAGGCCCTGCCAGTCTCATGCGCAGTTTGGTGTACGATTCCGGCAAGTGAAGCGTAGGACAGATGTGCTATCAAGTCTTGGTCATCGACTCAGATGCAGCTAGGTCGGTGGAGACATACCGCTCCAAGTGAAATGACCTTCTCATAGACGCAAGGCGACATGACCAAGCTGGAGGATGGGGTTGGCGCCAGCAACTCAGTCAAACCGTCCGACAGGTGCGCGGGTCAGCTCGTGTCAAGGCCAACCCCGCAACCTCCTGGCCATCGGGCAAGCCTGCCTACACCACCGAGTACCCGGAGGCCTGAACTTGAGAGCAGTGAGTGTCGGAGGCTCATTTTTGTTTTTTTTTCGGAGGAATACGACCTCTCCGACCCCAAAGGATCCTTCGAGAAGGTCGGCCGCATGGTGCTGCAGGCACACTGATGGGAACACCCGGACAAGAATTTCTGGGGACCCCCCCCCGTCGGAATTTGAGGAAATGGTGGGAGAGCTGCCTGGACTCTACGAGCTGCCCTCCAAGGAGGCAGAAATCTGGATCCCAAGGCCCGGCGCTTGGGAGGTCGCGTGGAGTCGAGCCAAGGCCTCCTGGGTCGAGAGATCTTTGGAGTACAACACGCCACTCAGCTTTTGAGATCTTGGCCAGGCGAGGGCAGGCATGTGAGAAAGAATCCAGATGAGGGGGGATTTCGGGATGGGGATAGGCAAGGGGGCCATTTCTTCTAAATGTATTACTCACTTCCCATCAGTAGCATTTCAGGAAATAATCATATTTACATATTTTCGTGGGATTGAAACTGTAGAACCAACCAGTTTCTGAGTTCCTTCCCAAGCGGTGAGTTTCAACGTGAACCTCATGGCTGCCAGCTTGTGCATGTTTTCTTCTTGCTTGCATAGGCTTTTGTGAGTGTGTGTGCACATGTGGCATTCAACACTGAGCTCAACATGAAGTATACCAACTGCGTCAAGTCTATAAGTCTTCCGTTGAACCCAGGCAGGGTGGCAAGATGAATCGGGGGCTGATCGTCGTGGAGACTGGGGTTGCCCTGATGAAGCATCAGGCTGGATAGTCGGACTACCTTGCGCTGAACATGTTATATCTCTAATCCAAGCCCAATAATTGGGGCCTTGACCGTTTGCCCTTCCAAAGTCGGGCTGCAAAGAAAGCCCAGAACATCACAACAACACTGCCGTAGTTGTCCTACCCTTGTGGCGGTGGGCCAAGCTTGCTGTTTTACCAAATCACCATGCTAATATGGGATTGGTCCTCGGCCCAGTGTTGACCAATTTGGGCATTTTGCCCGACAAGGTTGTTGGCTAGATTCCCTTCCCCCCCCCCCAAAGGTCCACAGTCAGTGCCTGTTGCTTGCTTGCTTTGCTTTGCTTTGCCTTGCCTTGCCTTGCTTTCTTTCCCACCTTGCTCAAGCAATCCTATTGCACAACACCGATTGGAACCAGTTCCTTGAATGCCTCAGGGCCGGGAGCCCAGCAACGCTGATCTGAACCGGCTTGCGGTGCTCGGCTGGGCCGTGGAGTACTTGCAGGCAGGGGGCATAGCCCAGCATTGCTTCACCGGTTCATTGTGGGTCAAAACCAATGGTACCGTTGTGGGGTAGGTGCACCACCCATTTTAGACTATTTTAGTGGGGATTGGGATGTTGACTGGGGGTACGGGCTTGTGACCAATGGCCATTTGAGCTCCCTTCATCCGGGGTGAGGGACCAAGTTGCTGTGGCCGTTGGCAAAACTCGGTTGTGGAATGAGAGCAAGCTTCTGGAGATCCTGACAGCATTTGTTAGTGCAGCACAAGAACATGTTTAATCATTCAATGATGCTGACGAACTTGGCATTTGTGACCCTGTCTTGGTGTGGATGTTTGCAGGCCCAAGGCGTTGCATCAAATTGTCAGGATGTGCGAGTTCAAAGCTCGTGTGGCAGATGACAAGTTAGCATTGGCGACATTATCGGCTCGATCAGTGCTCTCAACAAAGCAAGTATCGAGCTACAAAAAGCTGCTACCATTTTTGCTAGCCAACCCCCGAGATAGTCTATCATTCGAGCACGAGGAATCTTCACCAACAGGCCTGAAGAAATTACTTGGTAGACTTAGTCCGTTGGTTGCAACTTGCACATGAGCCAAGTGTTGCAAAATGTTTGTTGGACCCGTGTGGGGCTTTCAGTGTCTGGAAATAAGTCAAATTGGGCTTCGTGGTCTCAGCGAGACAACGATCAGCTGGTCGGCGGTGTTGCCAGGCATGCATGCTCATGGCCGACGACATGATGGACGGATCTCTGACTCGCCGTGGCAATCCATGCTGGTATAAGTGCCTCGTATTTTACATTGGTGCGGTAATCCAGTATCCCTGAAGTGCGTGGTGCGCATGAGCGCCAGGTTGCCAGACGTGGGAATGCTCAATACCAACGACTTTCTGATGGTGGAGATGTATGCCGTGCACTTTGGTTCCTGGAGACCACGCGAGTCACTTGAGCTTAGGTCTACAAGATTGTCAAGCGACACTTTGGTCAGGCGACACTTGTTTCGAAGTTTTGGTCCGTCGATTGCTTCGCTCAACCAGGACAGAATCTTCCCTTGGCTGATCGATCTTCTCCTGGCCTTTTGGATGCAGATGAGACAAACTAGAAGGGGACTCAAACAGTGACAGAGCCAAGGAGACAACCTTCCAGACCGAATGTGGGCAGTTGCTGGATTCTATCTGCGCCAATTGCGAGCTGGAGGCAAAGCAGGGGCAACTTTGCTTGCTTGAATGAGATAGCCTTGCTCGGGTATGAAGCAACCTCATGCATGACAATGGGGCCCCCATGGCGTTGGAATCCTGCATGATTGCAAGTTGGTTTGGGTATTTGCAAGCCTTGCTGGGGCTTGTTGTCTTGGTGGATTTGTCTGTTGCAAAAATTGGTCACATGAGTAGACACTGCAAAAGCACAGACATCGACATTGTTTCTCATACATGACCATTCCAAGCCTATCAATGTGGGTGTATGGTGATCCAGCCACGTGGCAAGAAAGTTGCGAGATCCCTGAGAAAGGAATTGTCGCGGTCAGGCAATCAAAAAGTGAGAGGGTCAAAGAACTTTGCACATGGAGCGCCTTCCACGCTTGCTGGGGCCAATTTTGGCAGGAGCTCACCACCGAGCGCTGGGAGCTGATAGTGACGCTAGGCATAAGCTGTGAGCCAGGGTCTCCAAGGGCTCATATGGTCGAGTGGCAAGCCAGAAACCAACCACGATTAAGCCTCGACACAGATGGTCCATGGAAATGTAGGCTGGGGAACAGAATGACTGATCTACAACCACTTGCATTTGAGCCAGAGGAAATACAAGACTGCCTTCTACTCCTTCTACCTGCCGGTTGCTCTCGCCATGCTGGTCAGCCACGGTCACCCGGAGCGCAGCTTGCGTGCAGCTTGCAGGTCACTGGCGTCCGGGACAAGGCAGCCTTCGACACTGCAAGAGAAGTACTGCTGCGGGGACCCCGAGCAGTGATGCAATGTGGTTGATGCAGGGAGAACCACTCCTTGATAGGGAAAGTCAAATGGCCGCGGGTCAACACCAATGGGATCCCATCTTGGGGTAGGTGCACCACCCATTTAAGTCTATTTTTGTGGGGATTGGGATGTTCACTGGGGGATAACCGGGATTTTGACCCATGGCCAAATGTATGTTCAGCGCCTCTGGTTCGTCCGGGCGTTTCCGGAGCTATTAGTTGACTTGTCCGACACTCAGGGAGATGGGAATCTACTTCCAGGCCTTCCCGTCTTGGCGAGCGAAAGGATCTCGAAGCGCGCAAGGCCCAAGACGACTTCTTAGATGCCTTCGCCAGCCCGGAGGAGCTCGGCAAGGCGGAAAAACCGTGGCATCCCGCAGCAAATGTTTCGCCGAAAAACAAAACAAACGCGTCTCTCGGACAGGTGGGAACCGACATCCAGGATGCGCGTTTCACAAATTTGCTTCACAACTGGAACAAAGCCAGGTATGGAGTCTGCCACTGGCTTGCCAGGACAAGAAGTGCAGCTGGCTCTTCGCGCACGCCTATCACGAAAAGAGCACACCAGAGGTGCAATGGGCTGAATTCGAGCTCAGATGCAACGGCAACCGGCCGTCCAATTGCTCGTCAAAACTACGCTTTGTGTCAGTGACAGCAGTGGGATCATGTGTTCTTCCTTTCTGAGGAAGATCATCGTTGCATAGGGCCACCGCGCGCCAATCTGATGCCAAATGTGTATGCTCAGCCGTTTTTGTTGTTTTTTGTGTCTGTTTGCGTGTGGAGATTTAAGGTTGGCCCATCGCTTGCTGTTGCCTTGGTTGGCGTTGATGGCCCGAGATATTCGCTAGAAGAGGGGAGAACAGAAGAGACAGTTTCATGCCCTGAGCACGCGCTCCGAGGGGATTGACCCGAGGAGTCCCCATGGATTGATCCGCGTAAGCGTGCGGGCTTGAAACTGTCTCTTATGCTCTCCTCTGTTCTAGCGGGGAGGAGGTGGAGGGTGATGTTGGTGCGCCGGTGATAAATTTGGTTTTTACATAGCCGGGTGCATGACATTGTCTCTCGACCCCCGGGGACAACCCCCGTAAAGTGAATTGCTGCAGCCAATTTTTTGAGTTCTTTTTTTCAAGGGCTCCTGGAGGTGTTTTTCTGTGTTTTTGTTGACTCTGAACGGTGCTCCGAGGTAGCGCCTCTCCCTTATTTCGGGCTGTTTTCTGCGTTTTCTGTTTGTTGGTTTTGTACGTTTTCGCCAGTAGACCGCAGGGATGAGGGAAACTTATGTTTGTGATGCCGCTTTTGTGCTATGTCGCAGGTTTTTCTGATCCTTGTCGAGCTCCCGGGCACGAACCCTCCCCTTTTTTTGGGTCGTTGTCCGGCTGGCCTTTTATCTTCCTAGCTGCCTGCTGCCCGCCTCGTGTTTGTGTAAAAGAAAGAGATGCTGACATATGATGCGTATGATGTTTCAGAGCTTTTACCTGCCTACATCATCACCATCATCACCATGATAGTATCATTGTCATAACGTGTGCAGAAGAGGCGAAGGCCACATACTATCACAAATTTTGGGGTGCCCTAAAATGTACATTTTAGGGAACCCCCAAAAGTGCCGGATTTGAACATGGGACGGAGCCTTTTGCCAGGACCATCATTACCCATGACCATGATGACGATGATGATGATGATGATGATGATGATATTGATGATATTGATGCCTGCCATGATGATGATGACCATTGTGTAGCCAGCCAAAAGCTCTGAATCATCATCACAGTTGTCATCATCTCTTTCGTTTCTTGTATACTCTTCCTCATCATGGTATTCTTCATCATCATGATCATCATAGGTGTCATCATCATCTTTTTCTTTTAGTATTTCTACATTTCAAGTGTGCCGTGAGGCACCCTTGGTGATGCAGGGGATGCTACGATGATAGTTATCATCACAGGCAGCATGATCACCATTATCATGATGGTCATGCATCATGATCACTATGATTCATGATGGTGATGCAAAGGATGCTATGATGAGAGTTATCATCACCGTGATGTAACCATCATCATCATGTTCATCATGTTCATCGCAATAACCTGCATCCCCTGCATCACCAAGGGTGTCTATCAGCACACTTTTTGTTTTTTTCAATTAGAATAAGACAAGAAAGAGATGACAACCATGATGATGATCATGATGTTCACCATGATGAGGAAGAAAGAGATGATGACAACAAGGAGGATGATTCAGAGCTTTCACCTGGCTACATCATCATCATCATCATCATCATCATTGTAATCATCATCAAGGTGATCATCATCGTGCAGGAGATGCTGCGAAGATTGCCACCAAGGGTGCCTAATGGCACACTTGAAATGTATGTCTACGCAAATAAGGAAACAAAGATGATAATTACTACAACTATGATTGATGATAATGATGATCACCATGATGACGATGACTACATAAGAAAAGAAAGATGATGGCAACAGAACTTTTACCTAGCTACATCTTCATCATCATGGTCATCATCATCGAGACACGGATGACGACGATTGCCATGATGATAGTTATCATCGTCATCATCATGATGTTTATCATCCATGTGAAGATGATGCTGATGACGACGACTCTGATGATAACTATCATCGTAGCATCGCTTGCATTACCAAGTGTCTAATGGCACACTTGACATGTATATATCCTCATATAGGAAAACAAGAAAAGAACGAGATGATGACAACTATGATGATGATAATGATCATCGTGTCATGACCATACAATTACAGCTAAGGCTAAGTCAGAAGACAATGTGTGCTAGGCAAGTGGAAGAAGGGCATCTTGGTGCGAGGGATGACATGATGTCTACAAACGGCAGCGTCGTATATATCAGATCCGGTCATGCAGTGAGACAAGGAGAATAAGCGACTGCTGTAGTAGGCGAGGCATTGCAAGCGAGATTTCACGATAAGCGTCAACCTCTAAATGCTTGCCACACAAAAGGACAACACATTATGTTGCAAGCCCAGCAAGCACGCCGCTGCTTTTTGCCCGTGCAAATTCGCAAATCACACCAGTGTCCACATCCACACATCCGAGAATCAGCACCCAGGTTCCAACGTGACATCCACACCCCAACTAGAAAAGTCGTCAAACACACATTGACATCGTTGCATCTCAACGTTTTTTGCATCTGGGTCTTTGCCACGAGATCTCAAAGGCATCATCCCACTCCAACACTAACGTACTTGTCCGCGTGCAAGTAGTTTACGCATCGCAGCATCACAAGTGCCTGCGTGACATCCAAATCCTATGTACAATAGCATCCCAATATTCTTGCATCTCCACAGGACCGCTCGACAATAGGTAGCCAAACACCTGATGCCATGAGAAACTTGATCCCCACGAATACAAATGCACACTTCCCGGGCGCCTCGCCCTTGCGGACAAGGGGTCGGCGGATATTGTGGCAGAATGAATAATTGGCAAGCCTAGACAATCCCTGCAGCATGCCTGCATTGACAGCCGGCTTCAGCCACGCAGGCTGCAACTTTGATTCGAACACTTGCAGTTTTCATGACATCAGAAGAAGACACGCCCCTGCAAGGCAAAGGCCTACCTTGACAAGCACTATGGAAAGTGCGAGGCGAGTGTCGTGTTTTGTTGTCTTTGACAAGTGGATGCTCAGCTCGGTGCACAGGTTGGCAGCGAAGAGGAGAAAAGGATCAAGAAGATCTACACCGAGCTTGGCCTGAAGGAGCCATCGGCGCTTTGCGTTCGTGACGAGGAGAAGCGCTTTTTCAGGAGCTATTCAAAAGCTATGAGGCGCAGGTGCAGTCGGATATGCAGGATTTCAAGGCAAAGGCCGGGTTGGCTAGGCTGGGTTAGCATGTTCTGCTGGTGCGGTTGAGGTCAAAGATGCAGACCTCCCTTGGTCAGTTTTCGAAATGAAGCATGGCAGCAATGACATACTGTATGAATTGCAAGAGAAGGTGTATTCTCTGATTGGCACCGCTCTTTGTGTCCTGGTTCCAAGGTTTTTTGGAATGATCCACAAGCGCAAGAAGTGAGCATGACCTGCTGGTCACAGTTAATGGCTTGAGAGACGACCTGTTTTGGTTCCGTCTCTTTGGGTTCTGGTTTTCATGTGGCTGTCTTTGCATTTGAAGGCGCTAGGCCTTTCGCGTTTTCGTTGAAGGCCCGTGCGGCGGTCCGCTCAGAAGCTCGAGCTTCAACTGTTAGCAGCTCGTGGATCGCAGTATGCGAGCATTTCAAAATGAAGTGCAGGGCAGAATCTAAGCCGCAAATGATGTTCCTCTTTCCATGTGTAAGTAAGAGCAAATTGGGGGGGAGAAGCGCGGCTGCAAGCAAACAATGAGTTGATGTCATGAAAAGATACGTCGCAGCCTTGGGGTCCACACTAAATGGAGCCACAAATGCGCGTTTCGCGCTTTGCGGCCGTGGTGGACAAGGCGCTTTGGCGCATGTGTTCCAGATGGGTGTGTCCTCTTTTGAGGGTACCCGAAGCCAAAGAGAAAACCTCGCATTTACGTTTGGGGTGATCCCCCAGTTTTAGTCACACCCACGTAGGTGTTGAGGAGAGAGCAATGGGCATTTGGCTCGCGCAGGCCTTTTCAAGTGTCGCCCATCAATACCCGAGCCGGCGGCCAAGCCACGAAAAGCGACAGCTTTTCAGTTGGTAGCCGATAAAAGGCATGAGCCTCCACGCAGGCGTGGAAGTGCAGGATTTGACTGAAACCATAGTGACACCAAGTCAGGGCATCTTTCCATTCAGAACGGTGTCCGCAAACCATCTTGGAGCCAGCAAACATGCATTGTCAGCCAGGTAGGCCCTGTTGGCTTGGAAGATAGGTTGGAGATGTATTTTTCTTGCAGATGCAGCAGTCCAGCATGAATCCATTTGGATAACTTAGGTCAAGAAGAAGTCAAGCATGCCAAACAACGAATTCGTCAGAAGCTCCCCGGCAAGCAAGATAGGGATGAGCAGCCGATTGAAATTGGTTGAAGCGTGCCCAATGTCCTTGGGCACTCGGTAGTCAGGCTGTGGGCATGATCCCACTTGCCAGACAGCCATCAACGGTATGCCTGTTGACTGTTTTGGGGATACGCAGTATCAAGGTCCAAAATAGCCCTCTCAGCCGTTTTGGGGGCAATTGTTGGTGGCCCTTTGGCTGAGGCAACAATGAATGACCTTTGGCCCATTTGGGTCTGTGACACTTTTGGCTGGCCCCCCTTCAATGGCCTGCTTCCCTGTGCTTGTTTCAGGAGCATCGAAGGATCCCGAAATTTTCTCAGGTTCCGACAGGCTGCCACCTCTTTGGAGGAGAGTGCAGACCTGGCGGGCTGGCCGGCAGAGAAGGCGTGCCCAGAGATTGTCATGACTGGAGTTCGGAATGGTGTTTGAGTCGCAGTGTGCCTATACATGGGGGTTGATCAAAAAGTCCTTGCAAGGAGTTATGTATTCGGTGACCATTCGTCTTGGCTTAAATCCCTCCGCGAAAGATCGGCGATGGAGTTCGCGAAAGAAACTTATTTTTCGCGAAAGATTCCGCGTTGAATTCTTGGAGGCCTGCCTGTGCACTTGCATATTTGCAGACCCCGCTCCCTTGTAGAGAGGGAGATACGCAGCACCTACACTTGCATTATTGATTCCCTGCCTGTGTTGGGATTGGTGCAAACCAATAACGTTGGCTGGGCTATTTTGGAGCAAGTTTCGCGAAAGATCCGCGAAAGACCGGCGAAAGACCAGGGAGCTTGTTGCAAGGTTCCGCGCATCGCCGGCAACCGCAAGTGGCAAGGGCGAACGACGGTGACTGCCTGCACTTGACACTACGTGCTGCACGCAAGTGAACTGCGACTACCGTGTTTGCAAGCACAACTGCAGCAGCCACAATGGCTCCAGAGCGCACGCTGCAAACAAAAGGGCGTGGCGATGGAGTCGCGAAAGATTCGCGAAAGAAACTTTTTTTCTCGCGAAGATGGCGTTTTCCGGAAACAGGAATATTGATCAACTGCCACATACAATATAATGTGTATACGGATATACATGTTGTATGGGTATAAATGTATGTGGGTTGTGAGTGTGTGTGTGTGATCATTCCCATGTTGTGGTCACTTGATCAAGAAAGCAAGGAAAAACACCCATTCGGGAGTATAACCCTTTGAGACACAGTCATGTGTGCATATATGCATATACATATTGTGTGTGTGTGCATGTGTGTTATTTACATATATGTGTGTCCTGTGTGTGTGTGTGTGCGCGTGCGTGTGCGTGCGTGTGTGCGTGTTTGCACATGTGTTGTATGCACAAAAGCCTCATGGCAAACAAAAAGTACAGCTTGCACGCAAACACCAGGGGGTCTCAAATCATGTTGTGCGAGAATCCTTGGCAACGGCTGCTTTGGGGGAAGCTCTGGCTTGCTGCAGGTGCTGTCCTCTCTCGCCGCGGAAGCTTTGCAACGCCTTGCAGTCAATGACTGGTTCGATCAGGCGCACAAAGCATGTGAGTGGGAGGTGGTTGTGGCATGTGTGGATGCCCACATTGGACTTGCGTGTAGCTTGCTTTGATTGCATTTTTGCAGGCTGTTCCTGCCTGCCTGCCTGTGTGTTTGCGTGTCTGTTTGTTTGACTGTCTGTCTGTTTGTGTGTGTGTCTGTCTGTCTCTCTCTGTCTGTGTGTTAGTCTGATTGTGTGTGTCCTGTCCTGTCCTGTCCTGTCCCGTCCTGTCCTGTCCCGTCCCGTCCTGTCCTGTCCTGTCCTGTCCTTCAAGATCAATACCAAGGCCAAGCATGCATGGTCTGTCATCGCCACGAGACTTTCCCGCACAGTCGAAGATTGCAAGACTCAATGGGCCTTGCATAAGTGAGCTCGCCCCACTCGGGGCCTTGTGTGTGTGAACCGTCCTGGAGCACGGACGCAAAACTTTAAGCAGCAGGGGGGCTGTCCACTGCATGGAAGTGACGGCCCAACGAAGAGGCTTCCATCAGTGCTGATATGGATTCTGGACGCAGAATCCACGTACCTGCAGTGATGAGAAATTCCTTTTGCGGTTTCTGTTTGTCGCTGTTGCTTCCTGTTCGGCGTCGATGTTGTGACCTGTTGATTTGCATTTGCATTCAGGCATTTTCACTGACTGCGTTTTTCATCTCGGCTAGTGAAGCCTCTCGAGATAAGTGTGTGTGTGTGTGTCTGTCTGTGTGTTTGCGCGTCTGTGTGTGTGTGTCTGTGTGCTTGTTTCTCGCATTGGCGAGTTTGTGCATGCTTCCGTGCTTGCGTGGGTGTATATGTCTGACTTATGCGTGTACATGTTGGTGTTTCGGCATGCGTTTGGGGTTTGGTCATGTTACTGTGCTTTAGTGCGTAATTATGTGCGGTTCCCACGAACTCCCAGATACCACGTGCTTTCCTGCAACACAACGTGTTGAAAACACCTTGACGAATTCTGAGGTGAAGTTCGGCTCCAAGTTTCCCTCGTTCCAAACGGAACATGGCAGGTTGACTGGCCCCGGATCTTGGCGGCCTTTGTCGCGGAGGCCACGAGTCTGGGCTTGGGCAGCGAGGAGCAGTTGCTGCCGACGGCCACCTGGGCGGTGCAGCAGTGGCGCCTCTGGAGAAATGTCGCCGTCGCAGAACGAGTTGTGTTTTGCTTCTCTTTCTTTGTTCTTTGAAGGTACCTCCCAAGGTGGCGCCGGGCAGGGAGTGCCATCCACCAAGATGATGTGCACCCAAACTCAACCACCCATGTTTTTGCTGCTGCCTGGTATGGCAGATCAAAATTGGCCATTGCCAAACTTTAGAGCCTCCGGCTCAGTTCGCTGACATTGTCCTCTCCCTCTTCTCCTTCTTCCTCTCTCCCTTGTCTCCTCCCCCGCGTGTTGTGTCGTCCTCTCTCCCTCCCTCTGCTCCCCATCCTCCCCATCCCCCCAAGCCTGTCTGTCTCCCTGTCTCCTTCCTCTCCACGCCCCTCTGCAGAAAAAGGGCACCCTTATTCTAACCTTTCTACTGGAGGACCTAGTCTCTCTCTCTCTCTCTCTCTCTCTCTGTCTCTCTTTCTTGCTCTCTGTGGCTCTCTCTCTCTCTCTCTCTCTCTCTCTCTCTCTCTCCATCTCTCTCTCTCTCTCTCTCTCTCTCTCTCTCATCTCTCTCTCTCCTCTCTCTCTCTCTCTCTCTCTCTCTCTCTCTCTCTCTCTCTCTCTCTCTCTCTCTCTCTCTCTCTCTCTCTCTCTCTCTCTCTCTCTCTCTCTCTCTCTCTCTCTCTCTCTCTCTCTCTCTCTCTCTCTCTCTCTCTCTCTCTCTCTCTCTCTCTCTCTCTCTCTCTCTCTCTCCCGCTCTCCTTCCTTCCTTCTCCAAATCTTAATTCTTTTTGTTGGCATGAGAACGGACAGATATAGAGACATAATATTTATACATTAGGGTTTACTTCTTCCTCAGTCGTAAGGTTGTGGCAGCTAGCGAAGCGATGGATAGCTTGTTTTAATATCAGCTCTTGGGATCTCTTACCTATATGCTGGGTAAAAGCGGAGGAAGAAAGGAGCTGCTCATTTTGCAATTTCTTTCAAAAGAGTTCTGAAGAGGCGAGTTTCCTTTCCCTCCCTGTCATTCCTTTCCATTTCCATTCCATGTCAATTCCATTTTAACTTTATTTCTGTCCTTTCTATTCTTAGCTAGAAGTGCCGAAGGCCAGCCCGGGCCAAACACGCGCTCGTTTAATTCCATTTCCCTCCTTTCCATTCCTGGCTAGAAGCGCCGAAGGCCAGCCCGGGCCAAACACGCGCTCGTTTCGCAATTTCTCGTGCCAAGAATTTGGACAGGGCGAGTTTCATGTCCATTTCCTCAAAAAATATACCTATATCTTTCCGTCCCTTTCCATGTTCCTTTCACTCCTTGCATGTGTGTTCCATGTCCATTCCATTTCACATCCATTTCTTTCTATTTCGTGTATTTCTGTCTAGTTCTTTTCCTATCCATTTCCTTTCCAATTTTGTTTTCACTTTCTTTCCTTTTTTGTGTTTCCATTTCTTTCCGTTCCTTTTCGCCCCTCTTTAATGAAGTGATCAAGGCCAACCAAGCCGGAAAAGTTGCTTTTTTTTGTGTAAATCTCCCCGAACAGAGGTTGAAGTTTCAGTCCTTTTCCATGTCCATTCCATTTTAATTCTACTTTCAGTCCATTTAATTCCTTGCTTGTCCGATCCGTTTCTTTCCGTTTCTTTGCCATTCCTTCCATGTCCTTTTTATGTCCTTTCTATTCCTAACCTGGTTGATCCTGCCAGTAGCCGTATACTGATCTCACAATTAATCAGCATACTAGATAGAAGCAATAGCTGGACAATCTGTCATTTTCCAATTAATGAAAAAACTAGTTCACAAATCAGTCATTGTTATCTAATGGTTGTATCAGTTGGATACAATAGCTAGAAAACCCATCATGCTTTTCTATGTTCATCATGGGACGCTCAGAAGAGGGCGATGAATCAACAACAAGAAAAACAATGAACAACAAACAAACAGCAATCAACAACTAACAAAAACAGTCAACAACTCACAACAACAATCAACAACTAACAAAACCAATCAACAACACAAAAACAAGCAACAACTAACAAGACATGGACAGGAAAAGGAACGTTTGTGCTTGGCAAGTCGGGGCTCACTGCCGATACAGTTTTGTATAGAACCCATTACCGAGCCTGCCTCGGCTGGATTCCACACACGTTGAAGCCCAAATGAAAAGGAAAAGGAAAGGAACTGGAAAGGAAATGGAAAGGAAATGGAAAGGAAATGGAAAGGACATTAAAGGGACATTGAAAGGAAATGGAGGAAATAGAAAGGAAATTGGAAGGAAATGGATGTTTGAAAAGGAAATGGAAAGACAATGGAAAGGACACGGAAAGGAAAGGGCGCGTTTGTGCTTGGCGGTTCTAGGCTCACTGCTGATAAAGTTTGTACGAATTCAATTACGGAGCCTGCCCCTTTCCATTTCCTTTCTATGTCCAATCCATGTCCATGTCCTTTCCATTTCCTTTCGATTCCCTTTCCATTTCGCTCCCGTTTCCTTTCCATTTCCTCCCGATTCCTTTCCTCTAAATGTCCTTTCCACGTCCTTTCCATTTTCTTTCCATTTCCTTTCCTTTTATATTTCCTTTCTGTTTCCTTTCCATACTTCCTTTCCAGTTCCTTTTCATTTGCGCTTCAAAGTGTCCGGGTCCAGCCGGAATTAAACAAATTGCAGGAATATCAATCATGTTTTTCTAATTCTTATATTTTGTTCAACGAATTAGAAAATGGCTGGCAAATCAGTCATTTTATTTCATTTTTAAAATAGCAGGAAAACAAGTCATGTTTTTGTTTTTGTTTCTATTTTTCTAATTTCTGAGACAAATTGGCTGGAAATCAGTCATGTTATTATTTGTTTGCGTAATTATTTGGAGGAGACTAGGTTTCCGGAATGTTGGGACCTATTTTTCTTAATTTTTCTCATCTTCTTAATGTTTCTATTATTTCTGTTGAATTAGAAAAATAGCTGTACAATCACTCAATTTTTTTTAAACTGTAGAGCCTCCGGCTCAGTCCGCCGACACTGTCCTCTCCCTTTTCTCCTTCCTCGTGCGTTCTGTCGTCCTCTCTCCCTCCCTCTGCTCCCCATCCTCCCCATCCCCCCAAGCCTCTCTCTCCTAAATCTCCCTGTCTCTCCCTCTCTCTGTGTCTCTCTCTCTCTCTCTCTCTCTCTCCCTCTCTCTGACTATCTCTATCTCTCTCTCTCTCTCTGACTATCTCTCTCTCTCTCTCTCTCTCTCTCTCTCTCTCTCTCTCTCTCTCTCTCTCTCTCTCTCTCTCTCTCTCTCTCTCTCTCTCTCTCTCTCTCTCTTGCCCCTGCGTGACCCGGAACTGTCATCTCACTACTGGCTTTCCCTTTGATTTCCCTTTCATGTCCTTTTCACGTTTGCCATGATGTCCTGGTCCTGTCCCTTCCATGCCGTTCAACCCCCCCTTCACGTCCCTGACATTTTCTCGGTATGTCCGCTTCATTTTCCATGTATGTCCCATTCTTTCGTCGCGAGTCATTTCCCTACATCTCCCGTCGTGCCGATTCGGTTCCTTGTGCGTTGTTTCCCTTTCCTTCCCCCTGCACTCCCCTGTTTTCATTTCTGTCCCTTGCATGTCCCTTTCAGTTCCCCTTTGTTTCCCTTTCATGTCCCGCCGCTTTCCTGTCATGTCGACTTCCTATTTCCTCCCCTCATTTCCTTGCACTTCCTTGCATTTTCCCTTTGCTCCCCAATATTTCCATCAAAAAAACACGGTTTTCCAGCGTTTTCGCAATTAGGACGTCCAGATTTTCGGCAAAAAGAGGCAGGAACCCCAAGCCAGCAAAGAGCCGGCAGGGAGAATCAAGCCTGGGACCCCTGTTTTGCGGCTCCCCGAAGACTACACTTAGTGGAACGTCATCAAATTGCCGCACGGTCCTTGGGGGGGGTGGGGGGTCTGCCAGGCACATTCTACGGGAAACCTCCGGCTCACACATGCTAGATGTATGGCTCAGTTATTAGAAGAATTAGCTGAAAAATCAGTCGATAAAAATGATGATGAGCATGATGGTGAAAAGAATATGATGATGACAATGATGATACACATGATGATGAAAATGATGATCAACATGATTGTACAAATGATAAATCGTGATAAAAATGATGATACACATGATGATGCACATGATGATGCACATGATGATGAAGAGGATGATGAAAATGATGATGAAATTGATGATGAAAATGATGACGAACATGATGATGAACATGATGATAGCAATAAAAAACATGCTGATGTACATGATGATGAACATGATGATGAACATGATGATAAAATGATGAATGATGATACACGTGATGTTAAACACGATGAACGATGATGGAAATGATGATAAGCATGATGATGACCATGATGATAAACATGATTAATGATGATGAACACGATGACGAACACCATGATGAAAACGATAATGGCCATGGTGATGAAAATGATGATAACAAGCATGATGAATGATGATGAAAATGATCATACAAATGATGAATGATGATGAACATCATGAGAAGATGATATGATGAATATGATGATGAAAAAGATGACGATGATGAGGAACATATATTTTGCAATTAACTAGACCAATTAGCTGAACAATCATTCATTTGTTCATTTGTTCTAATTGTTCTAATTAACTAGAAACATTAGCTGAACTATCAGTCAATGCTTTCTTTTTCTTCTAAATTTTCTCATTGTCCCCCGGTCTCCGGAATGTTGGAACCTAGTTTTTCTATTTTTCCATTTTTCCTAATAAAAAAACTGAAAATTCCGTCATTTGTCTATTTTTCCAATTTTTCCAATTAATTAGCTGAACAATCAATCATTTTTTCTAATTTTCTAATTAATTAGAAAAATTACAGCTAATTTTTCAAAATTAGAAATAAAATAGGTCCCAACATCCCGGAGACCGGGGGACAAATAGAAAAAATCTGGAAATTGAAAAGAAATGATTGATTTTTCAGCTGTTTTTTCTAATTAATTAGAAAAAGTGGAAAATTTTGAAAATTAGAAAAAATGCCTGCTAGTTTTTCTAATTAATCAGAAAATTACAAAATAAGTAAATATATAGAACAATTCGGAAAATAGGCCCTAACATTCCGGAGGCCGGGGGACAATTAGACAATTAGAAAAAACAATGACTGATATTTCAGCTAAGTTTTCTAATTAATTAGAAAAAAAAAGAAAACATGACTGATTTTTCAGCTAATTATCATCATCATGTTCATCAACATACTCGTTTTACCATCATATTCATCATCATTTTCATCATCATTTCTGCGCGCAACACGTTGTGACACATTTGGTATAATCTTCCCTCACACACCCCCCCCCCTGTACCTACGTGTCAGACGTCGGGCGGGGGGGGGTTGTCCTCTATCCTCTTTTATGTGTCCGACACGCCAAGCAACGCACGCACACACACACCCAACGAAACCCTCTTGCGCAAAGTTTAATAGGGGCTTTTGGTGGCCATAATAGTCTCTTTTCACTTGACCCCCAAAAGAAAACTCACTTGCACATGGCCCAAAAAGTGATGTTCAACATGCAAGCGAAACATTGATAGTTTTGGCAGTGCGTAGCGCTTAGCCATATGGCTGTGGGTTAAGACCAATGGTACCATTTTGGGGTAGGTGCGCCTCCCACTTTAGCCTAGAATAGCGGGGATTGGGATGCTCGCTGGGGGTACGGAATGTTGACCATGACCATATGACCGTGTTTGTGTACAAGCTGGGATGCCATGAGGCAAATCATCGAAGAGTTGTTATTCCGAACCACACATGTCGGTAACCACGACAGGTTTTGGGTAAAAAGAAAATGACATGAAATAATGCATTCTCCATCCGTTTCCGTCCATTTCCGTCCATTGCTGTGTTCCAAAGGTTCAGAGGATTGGTGTATTTTGGGATGTGCTTGAGTGAAGCACACGAGTGTGTAAGGTTGAAAGCAAATGTGATTCCAGATCTTCCAGATCATGCCCCAAATCGGTGGTACTCTCCTCATGCATAGGCGCTTGCAGCTACCGTTGGCACAGGCAAGCACGCGAAAGAGAGCAGAAGCTGTCCTTCTTCGGAGAGTGTAAGAAAGCCCCGAAGCTCGCAGTCTCTGAGAAGGCGCCAAAGCTCTCCTTTGCATCCAAGATCCCTCGCCTTGTGGCTGCAACTGGAGTAGTCAATGATGCTCCTGACCTGTGTTTGAGTCGAGGCAAGATGCCTGAAGCGGACAGTCCGGCCAACGTGCCACTGGAAAAGTCTCTCGGCAGCCCAGCCTTCCCATGCTGCGCAAAGACGCGCGCGCAGAAAGATCTGCTTGAGCAGTCGGCGCCTGTCTACAGCAGGCCCCTACAGTTGTCCCAATTCGAGGGCTTCATTCTTTCGTTTGGCATGCAGAGTCAAGAGTCAAGCACAAGCAACGCCACAGCCACAAACACGCTGCAAGGTTTCAAGGCAATGCTTCAAAGAAGACAAGAAAGACTCTGGACCCAAAGTCCCAATCCGGGACAGCGCTGCATCTGGACAGTGGCTACCAGGCGCATGCGTCCCAATTCAGTCAGCCTTCCTATGCTCGGCAGGCAACGGCTTTTGCGAAAGCTGAGCCAAAAGGCGCCGGCGGCGGAAAGCGTCTGCACTCCAGACGCCGCAAATGTCAGGTGCAGCGACTCCTGCCAGAGAGATAGATATTGACTTGGGCTTTTTACGTGAGGCACGGGTGAGCGTTTCAGAACTTGCACTGATAAGTCAGTGTGGCTGGTAGTTTTTCAAGCTGGTAGGTGGAATGCTTGGGCGTCACTTTGCAGGCCAATGGTTGTGTCTGGTTCCAGAGGGCCTCCTTTTCGTGCCGTGACAGGGACTGCAGGTGGAGTCGACCATCCCGTCCAGCCGGTCCCACAACCTGTTGATGCCTGGTGATGCTTGTCCGAATGGCCAGTGTACCTTGCATATCATTGCATTTCACACACCTGTAGGTTTGGGCAGTGCGTTGGGAAGTAAGGACGTTGTGACATCCGTCAATAGCACGCCGGTAAAGGCTCACCAGGCTGGGCCATGACAAGACCGACAACAGGTCGCGTCCGTGTGTGCGTGTGTGTGACGCAGTTTCCTACCTCAGGATTTCTGGCGAGAAGTGGACCGTGCAAAGCCGGGACAACTACGGATTTGTATCCTGCCACACTCTGCAAAGCAGCTTGGTGGCACAAGAAATTGGGTCCATGTTGCTGTGCTCAGCTTGCAAGGGAGCAAAGGAGCTGATTGTGCTGGACACATGCCAGGCTTAGGTTCTGCGTTTTGGGCACGCGCTGTAGAAACTACAAAGTTGTTTCTTGCTGCGCCGTCCCGCGCAACTGCCTTCAGTGGCTGTCGCCCGCATTCGGCTGTCGCCGGGGCACAGCCTTGGGAAAGAGTGTCCGCAGCGTCAGTTTCACAAACCTTATATGTTTGAACCTGACTGTTTGCAAACGGAGCTGTGAAGGAAGCTTTCATCAGCACGACGCAGACCGACGGACTCAAACAGTCGCGGCGTGCAATTTTCTTGGGCGGCCCATATGCAAAGAACCCCTTGCCTGGCCCACGCTTCCTGCTCTTCTTGCCAACCAGCGTCTCTGACCTAGCACGCAATGTGTGAAAGCTCATCTAGCTACAGAGACAATGCGAATTTGTGCTCGCGCGTGCAAGCTTCAAGACCAAGTTTGAGTTTGTAAAGACGGAAATGGCCAGATCCCCTTCCCACGAACCCAAATTCAAATTTGAATCTGGATTTAGAAGGGGTGGCTTGAGCCAGGCCTTTCCTTGCAAGTTCAACCGGAGGAGCCCACGTCACTGACACAGAAACCGCGTTGCCGGGTGAGAGCGCTTTTCGAGCCGATCCAGCCTGGCAGCGGTCACCGTGAGCTTGCAGGACATTTGCGATCCTCTTACAGCGTAGCTTAGCGGGCTCAGCCATTCGCGCGATTTCAGAAGCGGACTTGGCCCAGGCGCTCCGGCGCCTTGCCAAACTTCGGTGGCCTTTCGCAGACGAGGTCTCCTCTGCGCTGACACAGAGCGCAAAGCAGCAGTGTTGCCGCGACTCCTTCAACCGACGCTGTTGCATCAGCAAGGCTGTGCTTCATGGTGTTGATCATCTGGATGCGTTCCCAACCAGATGGAAATTTTCAGCCGAAGTGGCATTAGAAGCTGGTGCCAGCTGCAACAAACAGCCGCTTCCGGAGTAGCAGTTCTTTTTCGTCAGGAAGGCCGCCTTGGAACATGTTTACAGATGTCAGATGAGCAACCTGCCTGAACGGAAACATGGCCCGGAGGGCAGTTTTGGTTGCCGAACAATCTCAACCAGCCTGCGCCCCAAAACCGGCATGCCTTTCTATGAAGCCGCGTGGCCACAGCATGGCGGGCGCAAGCGTGAGTTGCTACCATGCATCAGGGTGCCGCGAGGCTCCCCGGAACAACCTGCGCGCGCTGAAATTCGGAATGAATAAGGCTTAGCCACGTCACCGTGCGCAAGATATGGCTCTTTGACACGCGCGCGTGCGACCTGCAAGGACCAGCCTGCAGCTGCGCCGCCTACACAACAAGCTGTGCTAGCAAGCTGCAAGCCCCAAATCGCAGGCTTGCGTCTTGGCACTTAGCTTCTGCAAGCGCAGCAACCGCGAAGGTCTCTCCTAGCCACCCTAGCTCCAGCCGGCCTACGGGCCACGCGTAGCCCATTGCCGACCTACACCACCTCATTGAATTTAAGGAACGTAGAGAAAGCCACGGCAGATTCCGCAACGCAAACTTTGTCAGCTTCAACGGGGGGTTCGTTCAAGGCGAGGCAAGGAAACCCGAGCGACGCTGAAGGTGCTCACCCTCATGCTGACGGCCATGTCTGTCATTTACGGCTCTCTATTTGGAAGCATGGCGGCGCTTCAGTAATGCGCTCTACCTTCAGTCTGCTGCCGTGGCCAGTGCCGGTTGTGGCAAGCCAGCGATCCGCTGCAAGGACTTCGCGCTTACGCATCAGTTGACAAAGGCTATCCGGGCCCTTGCTGGTCATGCAGAGAGATCCAGACTCACAGGGCCTGTTTGGAGAAGCCAGCAAAGCTGGCCCAGACAGGAGCGTAACTGAGAACGTGGCGGGCCACTAATCCGGTCCTGCCACGCTGGCGATCTGAGACTGTGGCCTCTGTGGTCTCAGCGGCATGCCGCTCCAAAGCTGCAAGGCCCCTGATGATCCCATAAAAGGCTGCGTAATCCCTGGCACTCTAGGCTTCCTACGCGCACCAGCTGACTTGCCTTCCTTTTGTCTTACACATGTCTGCTGAGCCTTTCTGCGGCAAGAGTTGGAAGCAACACAGCAGGACGCGCAAGCTGGGCCCCCCCCTTTGCAAGACGGAGGCGTAAGTACAGGCTGCCCGTGCACCTAGGAGACCCGCCAACTGTTGTCGCTGTTGGGCTTCCAGGATCCGTGGGCCAAAACTTTTGCAGCGTAGCCCCCAGCACAAGTTGCAGCAGGCACAAACAGCGTGCAAGCGCATCGCTCTCACAACAGATGCTGCAGCTGAGCTCTCGCAGGCCGCGCTTGCTCTTGCCAGTGTAAGGGGCCGCCAAATCAAATTGCGCGCTGGCCGCGCGAGGGTTTGCAGACCTGCGTCTGGCGCTCACGAGGGCCCCCGGTGCAAATTTGGATTCGAGTGCTCTAGGCTCTTTCCAGGAGAAAGCGCTTCCAGAAATCAATTTAGGAAAGGTTGGCCCTAAGTTGCCTAACCCCCCATTTTGATTGCCACTTTGAAAATTTCCAGTGTCGCGGCAGGATTCTTGGAGCCATGCGGCCCGTGGTGCCGTGGCACGTGCGCATTGATGGCTTGAAGTGAACAGCAATGCTCCTGGCAGAAGCCAGAAATGAATTTAGGCTGCTCCTAAATTGCGCAATCCCCGAAAAGGACTGCGGCCCTAGGCAAAAACTGTCAGTTGCGCAGAATTGTCTGCAAATGCGAAGTGTCGTAGCAGGATTTCTAGACGCTAGGCGTGGTGCGCAAAGACCCATTGCAGTTGCGCGTCTTTCGTTGGACGATGCTGCTGCAAACGGCGGAGGGTGTGGACACTTGCTGACCGACGGCTGCCTCTTCTCGAGTTGTGGAACCTGCCCTCGCCCGCGCTAAGTTTCACTTCCGCTTCGTATTCTGCTGCTGCGGCTAGTGTGTTTCCAAAAAGCCCGCCCTGCCAAGCCCAAAGCCAGCAAAGCCCGAGCATTTGCGAACGCCGTGCCCAAAGTTGAGGCAGGATGGTACGGCCAAAGTCACTGCTGTCTTTGCCTGCTTACTCATCGCCACGCCCTTCCCAGAGTTTTCAAAACATCAATGTGGCCAACCGAGTCAACCAGGAGGCCGCAGGAAGCGTGCTTGCAACAGCATCATGGGCCAACGTCTGTCTGGCAGCCCTCGGCAACCAAGGGCCGAAGGTGCCACCAAAGCCTACAAGACAAGCACGCGCAAGTTGCCAGGGAAACTGCAGCCAATCAACAAGCGGTGGAAGGCCAGCGCAGGGCCATTGAGGCAGCGAGAGAGTGTTTCGTGGCAATGTGTCGAGCCTTCACGTGTGCAAATCGCGATCGAGGAGCCCAAAGCTTTGAGGGTCGCAAGCGCGCCAAAGACCACATGCCACAAGCCTCTTTGTCCCTTTTCCTGCGAAGTGCAAATGCCGGGCGAAGTGTGAATGCCCGCGAGGTGCTGCGCGGAGTAAATGCTGAAGCGAGGTGCTCAAAAGCCTGCAACTGACGCAAAATCCCTGGCGCGGCTCCTCCTGGATATGTTCTGGCGCCGGGCGTTCATCCGCTCTTTGGCCAACGACCTTGGCTAGTTCAGCCACCATAGCCCACGAGGCGCCGCCTTGGAACTTTTTCCCATGTGTGTGATTCAGCGCTGCTGGGCGTGCCTTGCTTGGGGTAAGCTATGGCTTGCTCAAGCGCGAAAGGGTATGGGCAACATAAAAGCCGCGAGCAGCAGCAGAGACTAGTGAACATAAGATGCGTGGGCGGCTTGGGCTCTAGGAGGCACAGTAGGAGCACCTTCGCAACGACGGAGACCGTGCGTTGCGCACTTCTTCCAGCCTGCTTGCGCGTCCGAAAGCCCAAGGAGACTTCGCTAAGTGTCCAGACCGCATGCGCTCGCCGAATTGCGCCAAAGAATGTAAAGGAGCAATGGAGCTTTTTCACCTTGCATTAGCAGAGGACAGGTTGAGAAGCTTGGGACATCCAAGGTCATCCAGCAACGCTCCTTTGCCGCCTCCACCCGCTGCTTTGAAAGCTCCACCACCCGTCGCTGAGAGAGCTCCACCCGTCTCTGACAAAAAGTCAGAGCCGAGATCAAGATCTCACAGCCACGTCTCCTCCAAGGACACTTTTGGCTACCAGAGGTCTGAAAGCTCCATGATTGCTCTTCAGCTGCAGCAGGGCATTGCGCGGCGATTCATTTTATCTCGCTATGTTCTAGCATCCTGAGCCTGCTCCGTCGGTTGCCTGAGGTGCTCAATTGCGAGGACCTTGCAGATGCTGCGTATATGCATTCAGAGCATGTGGCTGTGGGTCAAAAATAAATACCCAAAGTGGAACCCTGGCAAATGGAAACATGGACTAAAACCTGCGGTCCCCTGTTACCCCTGTTGGTTTAATTTTGACCCATAATTACCCATGTGATCCAGGACATTGGCGGCAGCGCCTCGAAGTGCGAGATTTTCCGCGGAGAGAAGCCCAGCGCGTTCCCCTGGGAGGCGATCAGGCGGGCTGGGGACTGGCAATTGCTGGGCCTCGGGCCCAGCTCGTTCCTTAGGTGCGCTATCGCTTTCTACGAGGAGCTCGGCTTCATGCCGCAACCAGTGTGTCACCAGGTGCCATGGCACGAAGATTGCGGCATGAGATGAGCTGGCCCCAGTCAGTTTGAGCCAACCTAAAAGCGCCACCTGCAGGCCACACTTGCTCGGCACCCGCCGCCTGCGGAGCTCAGGCCAGCAAATTCGTGCGTGTTGATCGATTTTGGTTCCCGTGCCAGGTCCAAATTGGTCCAGTGCCCGGTTGTCGATGACGATGGACGCCAGCAAGGCCGGCAGGAAGCCCAACTAAGGGATGGCAGGGCGGATGAATGCCGGGGGTTTGCTCCCTCGGTGTTCCTTGCTTTGTTCAGAGGATATCTTTGCGCAGAGCATCACCTTCTGTTGCCAGGCCGCGGTTCAGACCGCATCTTCGTGATCAACTTGGCAGCAGCCTCAGTTTGTGTAGGGAGGCAGGAAGCCGCTCGCCTCTCAGGCTAAGACCTACGACTGCCCCTACGTTGACAACAGTACCTGGGCAAAATTGGTTTATCAAATCCATAAAGTCTGGAAAATGTCCCACTTTCAAGAGCTGGGATAATTTCAATCGGAGGTGAGTGGTGGCTTCAATTTGTCTGAGCTGCGCAGTTTGCCAAGGCAACTACAGGGCAGAGGTTTGGTCCAAACATGAGCTTTGGCCCTGGCTGCAAAAGGGCGGCCTTGCGCTGAAGGTGGGATTGGCGGGGAAGGCAAATCCAACCGCTCACGTAGAAAGGCATGCACAGATCTAGAAACGCCTCGCTGTATTTGAGCAAGCGTTTGAGCGTCTGACGCTAGGTGGAATACATCTTCGACAGCTTTGGGGAGTTCTTGCCCTCCAGGGAGGTGACACCAGCTGATCGTACCCAGACATCCACAGGGAGCGGGCGGTTGAGGACCATCGTGTGAGCTATTTGGATGGATGGACGCACGCATGGATGTCAAAATAGCCTTGGTGTGGATGACGTCAGTTCATCTTGCCCCATCCTGTTGCGTGAACAGTTCCTTGTGAAGTCCCTCGCCAGGATTCCGTGGTCTGAGTATGGCGGGCGCTAATGCACAATTGTAAAGAAGAAAATAAACAATGAGATGTCGAATGAAATCCGCATGGTCCAGATCACGCATTCAGCGTATGTTGACCGTGACTCACTTGTTGAGTTGTGGGTATGGGATAGTCAAATATTGGACAACATATTGAATAAATCGAATGGATGCATTATGTGTGTTTGTGTGCTTGTTGTATACATACATACAGTAATATATATATATATATGCACGTAGATGTGCGTAACTACTACTTCAAATTGGAAGTTGATCGTATTTATAAGTGTTATGTTGGTTGCTTATATGTATATTGTTACTAGTAAATTACTATTATCAGTATTATTATTATTATTGTTACTATTATGTTGTCCTATTGTTAGTACTATAATTTTTTGTTTTGTTTCATTTGTTTATTATTGATGATTATTATTATATCTATGTATTACTATTCTTATTATTATTATACTATTCGTATTATTATGTTATTGTTGTTATGTGTTACTATTGATTTTATGCTTATTATTATACTATTGTTATTATTGCTAGTTGCATCTTTATGTGTCTTGTTATTATGTATTATTATGTTTCTTATTCTTATTATTATACTATTATTATTGTCATTGTTATATAGGCAAAGGAAGTTTAGAGGGAACCTCCGTGTTCCGGACACTGCACAAAAATTGAAGATTAAGAATGCATGTTCGCGAGAAAACATGCGCGGGCGTGTGGCGAGGGCGGGTTTAGCGTTCCGGATCCGGATCGTGCGCTTTTCGCTACTTGAGTTTGCGTGAAAGGCGCAGCACCTAGGCAACCTGGGGTGCAGATTGTGTGACAGGCACGGCGCTTTGTTGGATTCGTGATCAGGTTTTGTGAAAGGCGCACAATTTGGCAGCCTGAGTTGTAGATTTTGTGGCAGGCAGGACTTTGCAGACTCAGTTGTGAATGCTAGCAAGGACGTGTCGCAATTCCCATTGGCACGAGCGCGCAAACTGTTTCTAAGATTTCGTAGCAATCAAATTTGGGCTCCTCGTTTTGTTGCACACTGAGTTTTTTAAGGCATGTTCACAAAAGGGTATTGTCCCCTACTAACCTTGATCCGAGCTGAAGCTTGCCCCTACCTTGTATGGGGTTGTCATTGTGTTGTTTGTTTGCTGGTTGACACTTTGCACGTCCCAACACGAAGATGTGTAACATCAATAGTTTGACCGTCTTCAAGCTTTCATTTGTCAATTGGAGGAAATGAATAGTCATGTGTTTCTGATTTTTTAGAAAGGTCTAGATTCAGAGGTTCGGATGTTTCAAGTAGTTTTGCTTTGCCATCATTGCTTGGCCTGTTTGCGCAGCTGTTGGATCTTGAGCCCAGCCAACTTCGCGTGCAACGGTGCATCCTGCGACGCTTGCGACTCAGGAAGCCGGTTTGGCAGCCTGTTTGGTGTGTGAGCCTGCATTGGGACAGGCGCGAACCGCGGAGAAACATCTAGACCCGGCAACCAGGGAGGCAGTTACGCTCAAAGAAAGACTGCCGCTCACTGGCTTCCCTTGTGTCAATTTTTTAGCATTGCATGGTAGCAATATGTTGATTGTTATTTTGTTGTGCTTGCAAGGAGACAGCTGTTTCAGCATCTGATCCCTGTGTCTCAACAAATACTTGGTGGTCTGGCAGGACTTCTAAGAAGACGGAGCTCGAGGCCCGCCTTCAGCAACCTCGCCTTAAGTGGCCGCTTTTGCGTTCAGGACTACCGGGCGACGTCTGCGTAGCGCCCGGATCGATGTCGAAGAAGGCAACCAAGGAACTTGCTGAGGTAAGTTGCGCCAAACTGCCATGATGCGGAAGGAGCAGAAGCCCAAGGCGATGGCCAAGGCAGAGACGAAGGATGCGACAGCCCAGGAAATCCTTGAGGCTGAACATGGCGGGGCATGGCTGGGCAGACTGTCGTTGCCGCCTTCCTGCTCAAACATGCCCCTGGCCCTGATTCATCTCCGCACAGGCCAAGGTCGGCGTCCACACCGATAAGGACGGGGCTTCCGCCCTGGCACAGATGAAAAGTTGAGCTGCCTGGCAGCAGCAGGAGACAGGGCGCAAAACCCATAGCCTTTGAGTTTGTAACCCTCTGGTCTTCACTGCTGAACTCTTTGTAGTGGCCCAGTCCTGAGCCACGTTCGGCTTGAAGGATGTCTGAGGTATGTGGGACTCGGTCAAGGACCAGGACCGTGACTTCGCTGAAGGCGAATGACTTTCTGAGATGCGACGTGCGCGGGCCTCCGGCGGAAGCTTTCAGCTTTGCCTTGCAAGGTCGACCTGAAGGTGTTGAGCGAAGCAAAATGGGAGCAACATGGGACAGCAGCTCCGAGGTCCCGAGGCAAGCGAGCCATCTTCAAGGATTCGCTCCGCGGCAATCTACGTGTGATGGCCCTCGCAGATGCCTGGAATGCATGGGATGACAAGCCTGCGAAGAACAACACTCGCGCGTCAGTGGCTCATGAGCTTGCAGCTAGCTGCGTTGGTTTGTTTGCTTCACTTTGTGTGCCGCCCAGGGCGTGTCCCGAGATCACAAGTATTGCTGGCACGCGCCCCAGTACTTCTAGGGGGTGTGTTGACAGGGCTCGCGAGCAACAGTCGTTGCGCGAAGGCTCGCGGAAGTTCATGGCTCTCCCAGAGGGCTGGGTTTGGCTGGCAGGGGTTGGGCAAAGTGCCGTCTACGCTGTTTCTGGAGGTGGGCGTCAACGTTGCCACTGCGAGCATGGGTGTCGCGCTTGTCGTGCCCAGGCTGACATCAAGATCTCTGGTGTCAATGCTGAGACAAGACTTGCGAGCCGCCAACTCGGTTTGTTCTTTTCCAATGTCTTTGGTCGGCTGGCAGGGGAGCTAATCAGAATCTGAGCCGCTTGACGGTGCTCCCAAGATGCTTGGAAGCTGTGCTACTGGGTATGGGCCAGAGCAAAACAGTTGTGCGATTGGATTTGCCATCCATTTTGAATTCCATGCCCGATCTTAGGCCGCATGGGCGGCCTACATGTTTGCGCAACGTATTGCGATGAGTTGTTTGAGCGGCAAGAGTGGCTGGTGCAAACAGCCGTTTGGCTCGATTGTTGGGTGTTTTTGTCCACGTGCCTCAACATCGTCCGAGTCAGCATGAAGAACCTTGGCGCTTTCGCCAAGCGCATGTTCAGGAAGAGCTGGCAGGATGATCCCAGCGGCGCAGTCTTGGTACAGTCTTGCTGCGCAAGTTGGGGAGATGAGGTTTATTGGGCGAAGAACTCCGCAATTCGACAATGCCGTGGCCGGCAGGCCCTTTTGCTTTCAGGCCAAGGTGCAGAACTGCTCGCCGTTCATGAGAAGGCAAATCTGCATTCCTATCCTATTGACTATGACCCCGAGGAGTTTGACCTTGAAGGTGCATGGGAGTCTCCCCTCTGCACCTGGGTGGCCATCTCTTTGCGGAACAAGAAGTCAGGCACCAATGACCTTTGTGTGATGCACATCGGGGAGAACTTGGTGTCGCAACTACAACTGCAGATTGCATTCTCAGGAACACGGCGGGCATCGCAATGGGTCAACGACAATGCTTTTGTCACTTGACTGCGCAATAATTGTGGCTGTGATGGTCTCAAGTGGGTTGAGTGCATGTTCGGGCCCTGTCCTCCTTTTGACTTGAGGCTGCTTAGTTCTAAGCTTAGTGCCGACAGAAGTTTACTGCAGGTCATGATTGTATCAGATGACAATGACGGAGGCTGCGTTGTTCAAGAGATCCTGGTTCGAGAGCGACAACACATTTGCAAGCCATTGAAGAACTTTGTGTGTGCTGAAAGTGCAGATCCCTTCCAATTCGATCACATTGAAATGGGCACGATCGACTATGTGATCATGCAGTCTTCGTGTGCACAGATGTGTCATTTACAACTCGGTGCAAGTGGCAGCACAGAACCGGTTCAAGTCGACCGCTCAACACAAAGTATGCTTGTGGTTGGAGGTTACCGCATTATGGTTCTTCAGTCGGGCAAGGTTACTATCCACAGGACGACCGGGGCTTACAACCAAGAGCTTGAAGCGCATTCAGCGTGGAAGGAGGCTGAAGGCGCCAAAGTGCGGATGTTTCGCACGTCGCATTGCGACAGTCTCCAAGTTGGAATTTTGGCCAACGGCTGCTTGTTCCTCCTGGAAGAATCCGATGGTAGCTGGAGGTGGAGTGACACCACACCAAGGACTCTGGAAGGTGTCGTAGACATCAGCCTGGAGGGGGGGCGAAGCTACTTTCTCAGCAAGCCACCAGAAAGCCCCAAGACTTTGGCGCCCGGGAACACGGCCTCGGAGACGCATGGCACAGACACCCATGCAGATCTCAGAGACTCTTTGTTGTTCTTGCCTCCCCGTGAGGGCATTGCAAGCCACCGAAGCCGAATTGTTCGCAAAGCGACTCTGCCGCTGAAGCACCACAATCGGGACCGTCGCACAGGGAATGTGGAGATTGCTGGCCGGACCGTGCGCAGGCAAGAGTTCACGGAAGCAGATGAAGCCTTGAAAGCATTGATTCCAAAGCTGGACGAGACCTTCGATGTGTCGTCCAAGGAGGCCGTAGAGAAATGCCACAGGCTCTTGGACAGCTTGGAATCCTCAACTTGCACCGTGATTGAGGGAGAGACAGCATCAGGGAAGTCTTCCACTGTGCTGCAAGTTGCAGCAAGAACAAGGTCTCCAGTGCAGCGCCTCAACATGACTCCGCAAACAAAGGCTTCTGACCTTTTAGGCTATTCCTATGTCAAACAAGAGGGAGAGGCCTCATGGATTGCCTTTCGAGATGGGGTTCTGACAACAGCTGCAAAGTGTGGACACTTGTTGGTGGTGGAAGAGGCGAATGTGGCAGGTGAGGAGCTTTTAGATGCGTGCAGAGAGATCATGCACTGCGGCCGTCTTATTATGCTGGGCGGTGCAGTTGCAGGTCAAGAAGGGGCAGAGCACGGGGCCTTGCACGTGACGGTGCATCCCAACTTTCGTGTTGTTCTCACGCAAAACCCCGTGGGGAGCTATGGCAACCGCAAGATCTGGGGCAGCAGCATGATGAGCCACTTCACCCCTTTATTATTCGAGGAGTTCAAAGCTCCGGCCGGCTTCTTCCAGGACGAAAAGCTGCAGGCCTCCTTTGACCTCGCCCAAAAATGTCGCCTGGCCGCCAATGTGGAGGTTCCCATCACTCTGCGGGACCTGAAGCATGCCCAAGGCGCAAGGGAGCACTTGCGCGAGCTCGTGGCGCAGTTGTGTGTCCAACACCTGGATGCCACTCAGGCACGGCAGCTCAGAAGCAAGCTTGCCGGTCTCTGGGGCCAGGAGCTACGTCAGCTGAGCTTCCAGGAATGCTTGGATGCAGCAGAGGCCGCGCGCCGCCCTGTGAAGGTCACGGGCCCCGAAAGGTCCGGCAAGCTACGAGAAGTGGTTTCTTGGGCTGAAAGGCGCAGGCGGGAACGCACACAACGTTGGGGCTCTTTCTGTGGCTTCTCAAGATCTGGTTTTGGGGAACCTTCAAGCCTTTGAGTGCGGGTTGGCTTGGTCAAGTCCGTGATCTCTCCGCGCCAGGGGTGACAATGGCTTTGAGGTGGTGTACCTCCATCCGCAGAGCTCACCCTCTGAACTCCTGGATTCCCTGCGCCCGAATCCCGCTGACAGCGGCCCGCCCTTTGCGCTTGTGCAGGGGCCAATCTCGAAATGCGTGCAGGACAAGTCTTCTGTTGCATGTGGGGGGAACCCGCGACTACTGTTGAGCTTGCTATCAGTTTGGTTGGTTGGATGGACCAAAAAAGCCCACCCCAAACAAGCCTTAACCCAAGCCGACCCCAAGCAACTCTAAACCCGCCCTGATCCCACCTCACACTCATTCTGACTCGTCCCCAAACCACCATGCACAAATTCGAGTGCAACGCAAAGCCCACCCGGAAAGCGCCACGTAACCCAAGCCAATTCCCAACCCAACACAGGCCCAACCTACACCCACCCAAGTTTTACCTTGAACCGGCACCCACTTTAAAGTAATCCTCAAGGCCTCACCCAAAATGCGAAAGAGCGCTAAGCCCATCCCCAAAGCAAGCATCTACCCGCCCCAGCTCTTCACCAGGCAAAAGCCAACCTAAAAGCAATCCTGATGCCCTAACCTTAAATTGAAGCCAACCTTTGTCCAATCCCAATTCTACCTGGCCACCTTGAGACCATTGTAAATCAATCCTACCGCCACCCTACACTGACCTCCACAACCAATCCCAAACCAAGGCAATCCAACGCAACAAACGCTGAACACAATCCAACCCGATAGCAACTTTGACTAACCCTGAATCAGCTTAAAAGGCGCTCAAAGGTTTTGCTCAGGTTAGCTTGCAGTTAGTTTACTGTTCAGCCGGGTCTTTTGCTATGCTATATGAGCTGCGCAACTTCTCCAGCGCACTTTGCATACTTTAAGCTTGCGATGTTCGATCCGGAGCCGCGAAATGTGTGCTTCGTGGCGCCGCGTAAGTGTGCTTCGTGGCGCCGCGTAAGTGTGCTTCCTTTTCCTGTGCGGGGATTTGAGCCCAGCTCAGCTGGCAACTACGAGACCCACAGTCTGGCCCATGTCCAAACTGGAAACGCAGCGTCTTGCTACACATTCACGCGTCGCAGAGTCGACCGCGCGCGGCAAAACGTGTCGTTTTCAAGGGGGGTTTGGTACATCCACGCGCCCAATCCATGCAGAGGGTCAACACGGGTCGGCCACGCACTGTAATAGGATTAACACTTGAGCTTTGCTCTTGGATCCGCAAGATCCACAGACAGCGCGCCGCAAAAGGTGACATTTCTGCTGGCGCGTTTTTGTACTTCGACCAGCACGATCCTCGCAGAGGGTCATAATCAGAAGCAGCGTCTACGTTCCCACTCCGCCGCCTTAGAAAGTGTTTTGTCCTATGGAAACAACTTTCTTTGGGCAAGTTTCAATGCGCAAGTTCTTTGATCAAGTTCTCTATGCAAGTTTCTCTATGCAAGTTTTCTGAGCAAGCTTTCTGTTCAAGTTCTCCGCGTGACTCAAGTTTTCCGAGCAAACTCTCCAAGCAAGTTTCTACGAGCGAGTTCTCCGCGCAAGTCGCTCGGAGCAAATTTTCCCAGCAATTATTTTGTTAAGTCTCTCTAAGCAAGGTTCTCTGTGCAATTTATTTGCGCATGCTAGCTTATCTGCGCAAGCCAGGTTCTCTGTTAGTAAGTTTCTCTGAGCATGTTCTTTGAGCATGTTTCCTGAGCAAGTTCTCTAGGCAGGTTCTCTGTGCCAGTTCTCTGCGCAAGTTTTCTGAGCAAGCCAGTGCAAGAGAGATCCAGCTTAAGAACCCTTCGCGATGCTTTCGGGACAGATACACCTACCAAATTTTGAGTGGTCGTCTAGTTCAAGTAGACATGAGTGAAACATAACTGCGCTGTTGTTTTTTCGGGCTGCTGAACCATGCTGAACCAGCGTCGAAGCAAGGAGGGCAAGATCTTGATCCTTGCTGGCTACTTCCGGCCCGAGTTGTCCATGGAGTGGCTCAACACGCTCCTAGAATCCGATGTTGGTGGGCAGATCATCAACATAGGGGGCACCACCTTGCAGGTGCACAAAGATTTTCATGTGGTGGTAACCAGCACAAGCGGTGAGAGGCTGGATCACCGGCACACGGCCACCCTTGCGGTGGAGACCCGTTTCTTCACCGTAGACTTGGAGACGTGGCCCTTCAGTGATGTTCCAGAGGAAAGTCGGTCCTCTGTGGACCAGAAGCAGTTAGGTGCGCTGGTGCAGGACTCGCCATTCTGGGAGGAAAACAACTATTCCATTGAGGGCCGGGAAGACGTGGTTCGTAGCGTGGCGAGTGAGCTCTACAGTAAAAAGAGGGCCACCTTGGAGGGAGATGCGGCATGCGGGAAAACAAGCCTGGCAAGACTCATTGCAAAGTACTTGGGCTATTCAGAGGACCAGGTCTTGTACCATCTTGTCAGCGCGGACACAGATCAGAATCGGCTGCTTGGGAGGTGGCAGCCGGCCGCAGGCCGGCCGTTCTTCAAGCCAGGGGACCTCCTGGACGCTGTGACCAGCGGCAAATTCCTGATTTTGGATGAGAAGAACCACTCTGCGCCAGAGCTCATAGGCTTCATTTATGCGATCATGGACCCGAACACTCGCAAGCTCTATGTGCCGCAACTCGCGAAACACGTGGATGTGCATGAGAGTTTCTGCCTTGTCAGCACTCAGAACCCCGCAGGTGATCCCGAAAGATATCCTGGCTGCAAGCCCACCTATCGTGCCGAGTGCACCAGGGTGAAGGTCTTTCAAATGCCGCCGATTGACGGTGGCCTTCGCCACATTTTGTCCGCCCAGGCACGGGCTCGTGCCTTACGCGCCTTGGTTGAGTTGAGTAGATTGCACTTGCTTCCGCTGTTACAGGGAAATTGAAACAACCTTTGGGCGACTGCCGTCAGTACTTGAAGTTGAGGCAAAGGAGTTGTGGCAAGTAAAGCGCAACTTCCGCATTGGTTGGTAGTGGTACCCTGCGAAAAGTGGCTCTCGGCTCAGGCTCGGAGGAGAGTGTTCATATTGTGCAGCGCATCCAGCAGCTTGCAGAGCAGATGGGGCTGGACTTGCGGAAGTGCATCGGCTTGCTGCGCCGCTCCGTGCGCGGCTGCTCCAAGCCACTCGCTTGCAGGGAAGTGCACAATCCGATGTGTTTCACCAGCGTGCTCTCTGCAAACAACACCTAGTGTTGCAGTGGTTTAGGCGGTTTGCCGGAATGTCGAACCTTGAAGAGAGCGCGGAGGTAATTGTAACGCTGCGCGTTGCCCGCCTTGGCCCAGCCAAGCGCGCAGCGTTTGCGGTTCGAATGCAAGCAGCAGAGCTGGTCAAGTGGCGATTCAGGCATGGACAGGTTCTGGCGTTGTTGGACCAATTGATGTCATGGGCCTGCAGGAAGCCCCCGAGGCAAGGGTAAGGCGATGCACAGGACCAGGGCGGGCTGGGATGAGGCTTGCTTGGGTGGTTGCTGGTTGGGCTGTCTCAGACACTGGGCAGACCAGGCTGGCTTGTGCGAGTGTCCTGCGTGGGCGGGTGGTTGGTTGGAAATTAGGCAGCCGGCCTGCAGGATGGCCCAGCCCGCTGTGATCTCAGACACGTCACACAGGCCTGGCTAGCCGGACGTGCTTTTCAGGATCAAAAGGCTACGTTTGCCATTCTCAGCGCATTTGCGACAAAGATTGGCCCACGGAGCTGGGCGCCGACGAGCCCCGAAAATTTCAAGGCCCGCCGGATCTTTGGGCCAGCGGGGGTGGGCGGCAGAAATTTTGGGGAAAAGATCTTCGCTTTGGTTGAAACAAGATCTGAGCGCCCTTGGCCCCCTTAAGGCCGAGGCGAATTATCACTAGAGAACTTTGGGGTAGAGTCGTTTACGCCAGACGGGGCCATCCAGACTTGAGCGGGCCATGTTGCTCTTCACGAAAGGTATGCCAGTAGCCCGCATAGATTGAAGAAGGGGCAGGCGCACGCATTCCTTGCATTCCGCTCGGCCCGGATCGCAAAACAGTGTCGTGTGAAAACGACAACTCACTATGTCCAAGGAAGTCCTTTTCGGTGGGCCTCGTGCAGCAGCGGAAGAGCGCTCGCGGCTGTGAAAGCGTTCCACTGCATGCGAAGCTCATGGGTTTGCTTCCTGGCAAGCTGCGCTGCACAGTGAAGGAAGAAGGGACTCAGCTGTTGATCTCAGCGGAAGATGATGAGGATGTGAACCTGGTGCTGATCTGCAAACTGCCGCGGCGGCCAAACAGCAACTTGGAAGACTTGCGCAGGCGATCGGTCGCGCAGCAAGAGCTGTTTTGCCGAATGGCCTTCGCCCATGCCTACCGAGAGCCTGTGATCCTTTCTGGTCGATCTTCCTTCAAGGCGGATACCGTGCAGCTCTTCCACAGCCTTGTGGCATTTCCCTCCGTCTCCTTGCGCCAGGTGCACATTACTCCAGAAACCAGCACAGGGGACTTGCTGGGTGCCATTGAGCCCGTGATCAAAGCAAGCCCGCGGTTTTGGCAGCCTGAGCTTCAACAGGACTTCGTGTTCCAGCGCGGACAGCTGCCTGATGCCGCAGAAGCAGGGGATCTCCTGCTCCTGAAGCACCTGACGCTGGCGGATGCCTCCGTTGCAGAGGCCAGCAAATCTGCCAGAGATGCCCTGCCCGAAACCTTTTGATGCGGCAATCGCTCAAGTAAAAAGAGGTTCCAGGGCCCAAGAAAAACCATGGTGTCAAAACCTACAGCCTTCATTTGTCAACTGGGCGATTAGAGAATTCCGTGTGTGGCTGGAGGTTCTCAACGCAGTCACGGACTCGGAGCCCTCCCTTCAGGTGGACGGAAAGGCGGTAACGCTGCATGACCGCCACGAGGCTTTCATAGTGCTCCACCTTGGGCAGCGAAAAAACGGTTTCTCCTATATTCCTGTAAGCAGCTTCTTTACGCCCCAAACGCAGTTGCATTCTGAAAGTTGGGGAGCTGTTTGAAGATTTTGAGGCCTTTTCTGCCCATTCGCAGCTGGACCTTTCCAGCAAACAGTCCGCAGCTTCCTAAGACCTGCGGGAACAACCCAAATCCAACCACCATTTGGAGGGGTCTTCCTGGTGAACAACAAAAACACCACAGGCACAGCTACCCGAGGCTTCTTCCTGGTGGCCACGGTGCATGAGCCCTCCAAGGCCTTGAGCCTCGCACAGGCAAGCCGCTGGACGGTGCTGAAGGTCAAGGAGAACCAGGAGGAGTGCCCGCTGGCGTGGTCAAAGCGCCTGAGTAAACCAGGCGTCAACGCACATGCACGCACACACACACACACACGACTACACACACACATGGGCACTCAAATCTGCACACACACACACTCACGCGCAAACACAGACACACCACATCACACACATAAACATCCCGATAAACATGCGCACACACACACATACCCACACATTCACCAGTACACATGCACACACATCCACACGCACACATACATATATCCATATATAATCTGAGTTGTGTTATGTCTATGTGTTTGCACATTTGCATGTATGCCTGCACTCATTCATGCATGTATGGGTGTATGGGTGTGTGTGTGTAATCACGTATGTCATGTATGTATGTATGTATGTATGTATGCATGTATGTGTGTATGTATGTATGTATGAAATGTATGTATGAAATGTAATGTAATGTAATGTAATGTCATGTCATGTCATGTAATGTATGTAATGTATGTATGTATGTATGTATGTATGTAGTGTAATGTAATGTAATGTAGTGTAATGTAATGTAATGCAATGTATGTATGTATGTATGTATGCTATGTATGTTATGTATGTATGTATGTATGTACGTATGTGTGTGTAATGTAATGTAATGTAATGTAATGTAATGTAATGTAATGTATTTATGTATGTGTGTATGTATGTATGTAATGTAATGTAATGTAATGTAATGTAATGTAATGTAATGTAATGTAATGTAATGTAATGTAATGTAATGCATGTAGGTATGTATGGTATGTATGCTGTGTATGTATGTAATGTAATGCAATGTAATGTAATGTAATGTATGTATGTAGGTAGGTAGGTATGTATGTAATGTATGCATGTATGTATGTATGTATGTGTGCATGTAGGAATGTATGCAATGTATGTATGTATGTATGTATGTCTGTTATGTATGTATGTATGTATGTACGTATGTATGTATGTATGTAATGTATGTAATGTATGTATGTATGTAATGTAATGTAATGTAATGTAATGTAATGCATGTATGTATGTATGTATGCATGTATGTATGTATGTGTGCAATGTAACGTAATGTAATGTATTGTCATTTAATGTCATGTAAAGCAATGTAATGTATGTCTGCATGCATGCATGTGTGCATGTAATGTATGCATGCATGCATGTATGCAACGCATGTATGTATGCATGGTAATGTAGTGTAATGCACTGGAATGTAATGTAGTGTAGTGTAGTGTAATGTATGTAATGTAATGTAATGTAAAGTAAAGTAATGTACGTAATGTATGTATATGTTTGCATGCATGCATGTATTTATGTATGTATGCATGTATGTATGTGATGCGCGTGATGTATGTAATGTTATGTTGTGTTATGTTGTGTTGTGTTTTTGTATTGTATATGATGTGTGTAATGCAATGTAACGTATTGTTATGTTATGTTATGTAATGTTGCGTATGTTTGTATGTATGCGTTACAGTGCTTTTCATTACATCACATTACGTTCCATTACCTTGCACTACATTACATTACACTACCATACAGACAAGCACATACATAAACACATACACACATGCACACACACGCAAAACCATATATACATACATACATACATACATACATACATACATACATACATACATACATACATACATACATACATTGCATTTCACGCATTTATAGAACCAGAGATACACTACATTTCATCAAGTTACATTCCATGCATTACATACATACATGCATACATCAGATTACATGCATTACATTACATTAGGTTACGCTACACTACATTACATGTCATACATTTCATACAGACATACGTTACATTACGCACATACATTGCATTACATGAGTGCATTACATTACATTACATTGACATTATATACATACGTACAAACATACGTAACGTAATGCAACCTAACGTAACATTACATACATTACGTCATGTCAAGGTATGTTACATTACAGTACATTCAATGCATTACACGCATGCATGGGAATACATGCATTAAATTACATTACATACATTATATTACATTACATTACGTTACCACACATACATACATTTATGCTTATGTACATATATATATATATTGCATTCATGCATAAGTACATTGCAAACATGCATACAGTTCACTACATTGCATTACGCCACGCAATGTATGTAGCGGTATGTATGTATGTATGTAATGTGATGTAATGTAATGTAATGTAATGTAATGTATGTATGTATGTATGTATGTATGTGTGTGTAATGTAATGTAATGTAATGTAATGTAATGTAATGTAATGTAGTGTAGTGTAATGTATGTATGTAATGTATGTATGTATGTAATGTATGTATGTATGTATGTATGTATGTAGGTATGTAGGTATGTAATGTAATGTATGTATGTTATGTTATGTTATGTTATGTTATGTATGTATGTATGTAATGTATGTAATGTATGTAATGTATGTAATGTATGTATGTATGTATGTATGTATGTATGTATGTACGTACGTAGGTATGTATGTATGTATGTATGTATGTATGTATGTATGTATGTATGTATGTATGTATGTATGTATGTATGTATGTATGTATGTATGTATGTTATGTATGTATGTATGTATGTATGTATGTATGTATGTATGTGTGTGTGTGTGTGTGTATGTATGTATGTCTGTATGTATGTATGTATGTAATGTAATGTAATGTAATGTAATGTAATGTAATGTAATGTATGTATGTATGTAATGTATGTATGTATGTATGTATGTATGTATGTATGTATGTATGTATGTATGTATGTATGTATGTATGTATGTATGTATGTATGTATGTATGTATGTATGTATGTATGTATGTATGTATGTATGTATGTATGTATGTATGTATGTATGTATGTATGTATGTATGTATGTATGTATGTATGTAATGTATGTATGTATGTAATGTATGTATGTATGTAATGTAATGTAATGTAATGTAATGTAATGTAATGTAATGTAATGTAATGTAATGTAATGTAATGTAATGTAATGTAATGTAATGTAATGTAATGTAATGTAATGTAATGTAATGTAATGTAATGTAATGTAATGTATGTATGTATGTATGTGTGTGTGTAATGTAACGTAATGTAATGTCATGTAATGCCATGTAATGCAATGAACTGTATGTGTGCATGCGTGCGTGCAATGTAATGTAATGTCATGTAATCTAATGTAGTGTAACGTAATGTATGTATGTAATGCAATGCAATGCAATGCAACGCAATGCAATGTAATGTAATGTAGTGCAATGTATGTAATGTAATGTAATGTAATGTAATGTAATGTAATGTAATGTAATGTAATGTAATGTAATGTAATGTAATGTAATGTAATGGAATGTATGTATGCATGTATGGTGTGTTCGTTTGTATGTCTGCACGTATGTAATGCAATGTACTGTACCGTAATGCAATGTAGTGCTCTCGCACTTGTACTTGTACTTGTACTCACTTTAGTATTGCTAAGGCTGACCCTCGGATGCCCAGTACTTACTTTCGTGTCGCGAACTCTACTTTAGCATTGCCGATTTGTTTGCTCCAAGTGTTTGCCAAGTTTTTCCCCAGGTTTTTTTCCGGCGATTGTTCCGGCAAAGAAACTTTCCACAATAGAGGACCCCCAAAAACAGTCACAGGATCCTGAAATAGGAAAACCTGTCCATAATAGAGGGTACTATTCCGACTGGGCGTCTAACAGTATGGACTTGCTATGTATAAAAAAATGCCTTATGGTGATTTCAAGTCGCATGTTGACAAAATGGATTAACGTAAACTTACGATATATACTCATGAGGATGAAATAGGCTATATATTAGAAGTTGATTTAGACTACCCTAAAGAAACGCACGACTTATGTGAAGACTATCCATAGCACAAGAAGTTTTGAGTGTCAGTTTTAATATGCTTTCTGATGTTCAAACATAAATCCACAAAGAATACTGCAACAAAGAAGCAACCGATGAGAAAACTAATCAACTGATACTAGATGTAATGGAAAAGAAGAACTATGGTCATAGAGCAAAAAGTTTCAAACAAGCTTACAAGCTCATTTTCTTAAACCATACATTGACTTCAACGCAGAGAGGCTGCTAAAGCTGATGTTGACAAAGATTTGTTCGAGCTGATTAGTAGTGTATATGGTAAAACTATGGAAAATGTAAGAAAGCATGGTGATTTTGAATTAGGTGATAATGCTGCCAGTTTTGAACAACTTGTAAATGGTCCAACATACAAACATAGACGCGCCATAAATGAGAACCTATTAGTAGCCGAAAAGGAAAAGCACACTGTAGAATTCAATAAACTTAGCTATATGGGAATGTCGATTCTAGTTTATTCAAGTTTTGACATGTATTCATTTTATTTTCTGGGCCTGTGGCCTCTAGCCGGCTACGCCTCTTTGAAGTTATACCATGTCATGTCATGTTTTTCGCATGAGAAACGTAGCGTGTGCTATGATATGGCTGGTTAGGTTATGCATGTTGCCCACCTTACGGGGATGCAAGCCAGAAGGCTGACATGGGGTCGCGCGCGCGCACCAGAGGACCCAAAAAAAGCAGCCCAAAAAGAAAAGCCCGCAAGCCAGGCCGGAAACGCAAATGCAACAAAACACCGTAAATAGCAGCGTTTTGTGGCTGGGGTCGCGCGCGCGCGCCAGAAGGCCCGAAAACCAACGCGAAAAAAGCAAGGACCGCGCAGCACGCGAGCCAGCCACAGCAAAAGCAAAACGGACAGAACAACAGCCCAACGCTCAGCACAGCAGTTCTTGGCGGTATTTACAGCGTTTTGTAGAGCGAGGACCCAGCATCGCCGGCATGCCCGGCAGCGCTTGGCGCCAAAATGCGCAAAAATGAGCCTCGCTTATACCCCTCCGATACCTACTTAAAAACAGTGCTTTTTGGGTGGAGAGGCTTTTTGGAAGGAAGTCTTGATGATGCAGACCAAGCCCCGCTGAAGCATCACCCAGGCCCAACCCCAGACCCTGACGATGTCAACCACATGGCCTAAACCCTGCACACACGCGATGTTTCACGAGGGTTTTGCACAGTCAAGCACAACCGCAAGCCCGAGCTGGTGATGCAGAGGTGCCGGATTTAGGCCGCGCATCACGACCAAGTGGCGAGGGTCGGCGGCGCCAGGGTGCAGCCCCTATAGCTAAAGCTAGCAGGCTAACTGCTACGCCTGCTGCCGCCGACCCTCGGCGCATTAAGGGAAAAGTCATAAGGACCGGTCCTGAAACACGGGTGCCAGTCCGCAAACCCAGGGACCACTTATAAGATCCTCTACGACCACAAACACTTCGAGTTGGCCCGGGAGCAGTCGCCCTGAAACTGGAACTGCCCCTGAAAGTCGCAGTCTGGCGCGGTTTGAATCGACGTATTGGACTCTTGCAGAATAGATCCAGGGATCCTCTACCGCTGGCAGCTCGTCCGTCAATTACCGCTCGAGTTGGCCCGGGAGTGGTCCTAGAACCGGTCGCAGGCAGGGAGCGGGGCTTGGGACCCTGCCCGGTCCTGAAACACGGGCCAGTCCGGTCGAGCCAACATAGCGCGGTCTGCCAGGACTGGACCGGTCCCCGGACTGTCCCGGGACTGGTCCTGGAACTCCACTTTTTGTGCTTTTTGTCCTTCAAGGACCAAAATGCATCATGGCAATCACTTCATTCCAGTTGCATCCCACGCCGGCCCCCTCTGCAGAGGCTGGGACGGGAGGCAGAGGGTCGGCAGATTATTGTGTGTTAAAATCAAAACCGAATTTTGGTGATAGCAATAAATCAGTATATATACTGGTGCTGATAGTTACGTCGTTCAAGATATGTATGAAGACCATAGAGAAACTGGTGAACCACACCTGGGCTTTTCAGACTATCATGACTATCCAGAAATCATAAACGGTATGACCCTAAACACAAAAATACTTGCTTTTTTTCAGACATGACATGTCAAGTAAAAGCATTGCAAAATTCATCGGTTTAAAACCTGAATCATATTGTTTTAGAGTGTATGGAAAAAATAAAAAACACGAGAAAATTAAAGGAGTTGTAAGCGTAAAGTTGAGAAGGAAATGAACTAAAATAAGTATGAAGAAACGCTAAACAAAGAATCAAAAGGCGATATGAAAGTTGAATATTAGAAGTAATAATCATCAAATATATAGTATAAGTCAGGCAAAATATTCCCTAAGTAGATAAATTGATAAAAGGATGAACAGTTCACGGCGATGAAACCGCGAAAGATTCGCGAAAGTAGCTTCTTCTTTTTTAACGCGAAGCGTGGCCGTTTCGAGAGAAAGGAATATAGAAAAACCACAACGTATACCTGGGTTACAAACAGACGTACACACGCAGTCCCCTAATCAGTTGCCGGAAGATTTTGGAAGCGCGCTTACATACTCAACTTGCATACATACATAGCAGAGACAGACATAGACTGGCAGGCAGGCGGAGAGAAAGCATATCTTAAAACCGTGCAAATGTTGACGGACAGAGACAGACAGACCGACAAACAGGCAGGCAGGCAGGCAGACAGGCGGACAGACGGACAGACCTACAGACAGCACAGACAGACAGACAGACACAGACAGAGAGAGAGAGAGACACACACACAGAGACAGACCGACCAACACACAGCCTTACAGACATATCAGAACATGCCACACCATATAACTTTAGAGCCTCCGGCTCAGTCCGCCGACATTGGCATCTAGCTTGTCTCCTTCTTCCTCTCGCCCGTGTCCCCCTAGTATGCTCTTCTGTCCTCTCTGGTTCCCCCATCCTCCCCGACACGCCGAGCAATGTCGGCGGAGTGTTGAGTGCCACCAAGAGGGTGCTCCCAGAAAGGGCGCCGAACCATGCCTCCAAGTAAAATGTTGGGAAAGGGTGGCGACCAAACAGGGCGTACAATTGCGAACAGGAAGGCTCGCCGTTTAGGGCACCTTAGTGCTGGGTGGTATGTCATGGCCACTGCATGTCGTTTTGGCGGGCTGCGCGGATAAGCTGATTTCTGAGGGGTGTTGAGGTTGCCCCTTGTACGGCATTCTTGCTTGCGAGAAGCGTGGCCTAGCATGGCCCAAGTATCCGACACGAAGGACATTGGGGGCGACACTTGGAAGGAAGCTGGGGTTGGGGAATTTGCCAGGACATTTGGGGGAAACTGGGGGGGCAATTGGGGGGAAGTCGGATGGAAATTGAAAGGAAAGTGGGAGGGAATTGGTGAGAAAGTAAGGCGCAATTTGCGGGGAAGCATTGGGGGAAATTAGGGGAAATTGGGGGGAAATTGATGCCAATTGTCAAGGAAATCGGAAAACACAATGTGTTTTTTTCAATGGTGTCAGCAAATGAAAAACACCGAACACCGTGTGTCTCAAAGTTTTCCGCAAAAGGCAGCACAAAACCTCAGCCGGCAGAAAGAGGCGGCGGGAGGATTCGAGCCTGGGACCCCCGTTTCTCCAGACCCGCTCCCCGAAGACTACGTTTAGTGGAACGTCATCAAATTGCCGCGCGGTACGCGGGGGAGGGGGGGGGGGTGGCGACCGAAAAACCATGCGTATTTGACGTGTCCCGGGGGGGGACTAAGGGGGGGGTTATCCTCTATCCTCTCTTAGGTATCCAATAGTCCTCTCTTAGGTATCCGACACGCCGAACAATGTCGGCGGATATGATGTAGTGTTCTCACATTCTGTAGCATGCCACAATGCCGTACAACATAGTCCAGCACTTATACACACATGCATACATGCATGTGCACGCAGCCAGTGGCCGCGCTTTGTTCAGCCGTCGCACAGGGCAAAAAGTTTGCCATGTGCAGTTTCCGTTGTGCTTCGCCATAGCCTGGAAGGAGCGCTTGGAGATGTTGATGATCCTTTTCCGCACACAAGACCGAATGCTGCCACTGTTCTTTGCGCGTATGCATGTCCAATGTGAACTTGTACGTCAGTGCTTGACAGGCTGATGCTGCAAGGTTCAGGCAGTCTAGCCACAATCCAATTCATTGGCCACTGCTCCCTTTAGCTGCATCCCAGCCGAGGAATGTGCCACAAAGTCGATGGGCGAAGCAAACAGGAGAGGCCTGGGTGGAAAAGGCCATGGATAAGATGCTAACAGTTCTTGGAAAGTACATTTCAGCAGTGGCTTGGGATGATGGCGAATATCCAGTCACAACGCATCATATGACCATGTGGTGCCGTTGTGTGGAGGTTGACACGGTGGATCCAGATCGAATTTTCAACGTGTTGCTTGGAGCCCGGTGCTTGTTTTATCAACGTCATTCTCTTGACAAGGCACAATCGCAGATGGTCCTTCACCATGGGCCAGGCCTTCCTTCCGACTTGGAAGAGCACATCGCCAGGTTCGAAGCAAGTCCAGAAAGTGGACAATTTCTTGGCGTGCGCCTTCCAGCTGGGATACTTGCTGATCCACCAGCGGAATTCACACGGTCCAAGGAAGGAGACGTCATGTTGCGGGATGTCCTTTTCTTGGGCCTAGCTCGGGTGTGGGTGGCAGCCATCGGTCCTCCCGGCAACGGCAAATCCAAAATGGCCAGCGTTCTGGGAGCCTGGCTTGGCTTGAAACACTTCCGACTCTTTTGCTCGGCGCACCTATCTCGGGCCGACTTCGAGCGGGGGGTGCACCAGCATGAGAACGGGGTCTTTGCGCTAAAGGACAGCCCAGCAAGAGAGGTCTACCAGCAGGGCGGCGTCCTGGTTTTTGAAGAGCCAAACAACTGCAAGAGCGAGCTGCATCCTTGCTTCCTGGCGATGAGTGAGGACCCCGCAGGCATTGGCATCCTTGCCATGAACCCCCGGCGCAGCCTTCAGAGTGACGCGCTGGAGCTTTTCCCCACACTCTCCGCCCGAGTTTGTTGGATGCCGGTGCCAGCCATGTCTCAGGAGGAAAAGGGCTAAAAGGAATCCGCAAAGTCTCGTGACAGACTTTGCTTTTAGAGGATTGTTTGAAAGTTGCTTTGCTTCGGGGTTTTGGGAAGTGGGGCTGGGAATGGAGCTGCATATCCTTGAGGACCAAGAGAAGATTATGCTACCAGTGGTGATGCAGCCTTTTCTCTCGGTAGAGGAGAGGCGACAAAGGGAGATTTGGGCAATATTCAAGCAGGCTCATTTTACCCCAGAGCTGCAGGGACATGTGGGCATTCGTCAAGGCCAGCAATTTGCAGCTCTATGCCAGGGGGTCGAATCACAGCTCATGTTGCCAGACGGACGCATCAACAACCAACTTCTTGCAATCCTTGTGCATGCTGTATATGGAGAACTGCATGATACTCCAGCAGTTCGGCAAGCTGTCCATCAGCAGATTTCAGACGGTTGGGCGAATCGCAAGGCTGGTGTCGACGAAGAGTCGGCCTTGCCGCTGTGCAGTTGTTTGCTTGCCCGCTGAGGGTGTGTTTTACTTCAGGTTTCCCTTCCTGGGTGGTTGGCGCTGGCGGCATCGAGGGTTTGAGACCTTGTTCGTTAAAGGACCACCCGTCCTCCAAGCTGCGAATCACAATTCAGGGGCAGACTGAAGATCTCTCCTTTCAGAACATCAATCGTGTGCCACATGGGCGAAACACAAGGTTGTTTGGGGTTATGGCTATCACGCTTGAATAGGTGTCCTAGACGACCATGTTTAGGATTCCCACTCATGGGGCCATGACCATCCTCGGCAAAGTTTGCGCGGCCCGCATCCTGGCAGGTTGAAACTGGCATTGAGAATGGCGTCTTTTGGATTCGAAGTTCATTTCCTGGGCAGCTTGATTGCAAGGAGCCAGTGGACAGTCACAAGCTCGGCGGGTTTTTGTTCGACTCCTCGTGCCGCGTGCATGAGCAACATCTTGTGTGCCACCGCTAATCTGAACACGCACACCTCCCTCTCTCTGTGTAGAGGTGGTAGTGAGGCTACACCACTGGCAGATCAATCAAGTTGCACTGAGAGAGCGCTGGATTTCATGTCGAATGTTGTGCCGCTTGTTGGCTTGTTTTAGTTTTGTTTCATCGCCGCTCGTCAAACAGTATGACTTCAGTTCGTGGCTGAGACTCCGATACAAGCAAGATAAAGTAGAATGCGTGTGAAGTGTGTGACTGCTCGCATGTTGAAAGGATAGCGATAAACTTGAGATATCACTGATCGACTCAGAGCAAGGTGTGTAGTCACTGGTCATGGAGTGTAACTTGCTGTGATGATTGCAATTTCGATTTTGAAGACCCTGCAGAAAAATCCCAGAACCTCCCCCTACACCTTCTGCCCTAGAATGAGGGCCTTGGTTTCCACGCACAAGGCCTGCGCAAGGCCGGCACATGCTCAGGTCCCAGCCCTACCTGCATCTGGAGATTCCCCGGGAGGGGGCGCCCTGGTGGCCTGTGCAGGCCGTAGCCCCGGCAGAGGCGCTGCAGCTGGAGATGGCGCTCTTGGGGTATCTGTCGCGCCGCGCCACCCTGGCCCGGACATCGGCTGCCCGGAAGCTGTGCTGGAGCAGCTCATGGCTTGTCTCGGGCGGCAGCCCATTGTGGTGGTGCCCTTCACAGGCAGCACGTCTGAGAATGACATGTTGGGGGGCCTTGCCCCTGTCAGCCCTGCCTATCAAAGGCAGCAAGCCAAGCTAGGACGGGCCAAATCTGCCAGGAGAGAGCTTGAGCACATTGCTGGCCCAGTTCCTTCCGGCCTTCAAAATGGCTTTGCCATCTGCGGTTTGCGGGCGGGCGCTGCTCAAGAAGTGGTTCTGGAGCGCTTGAATGAACCCATGGAGGGGGATTTGCAGCTGACTATACACTCAGGAAAGGAGCAGAAAGTTGCGGCGGGCCAAAATGCGCGCTTGCACTTCACCTCTTCGGATGAATCCCGCTTATCTCTGGCCGTGCGGAGCAGATTGCTGACCCATCGGGTCACTGCCTTGGGGGTCGTGCCAAACCAACCGACACTCCCTGCTCAAGACGAGCTGGCCGCGTTGCTGATGCTTGTCCGTCAGCAGTACCCTGGCCTCAGCGAGGACCAGCTGGGGCAGTTTGTGAGCTTTCATTACACCCTGTTCCGACAGCTCATTCCAAAGGTGCCGGAGGGTTACCAGATTACCATGCGTAATTTGAAGCGGGCTCTCAGCGCCTACAATCTTGGCCAAGATGAGGCACGTGCACGAAAAATGGCCTATGGAAGCCATGTGGTGGAGGCTTCAGAAAGGCAGACTTGGGCCGCGGACTGGTTGCCAAAACTTGCCAACACCGCACACCAAGCGTGGTCTAGCAAGCAGCTGGAGCAGGTGGAAGCGCTCGACCTGCCTAGCGAGCTGTGCACTGGCTCAGTGCCAACGGTTGGTCTCAGATGGGTGGCGCGCACTGCGGGCCATGGTGTGGACGGGTCAGTGCCATTGCCTTTGCAAGATCAGATGGTAATCTACAACAAGCCCCACTTGAAGCAGGTCTTGGTGGAGAAATCCGCTGCAGCCTTCCTGGTAAGCGTGCACAACTGGACTGGCGGCAACGTGCCCCTGAGTGTAGCACAGTCTAACACGGGCTCCGATGCTGCGCTGCATCACACGGTCTTGCAGCCAGGTGAGTCACACGCCTTCTGGACGCCCGCTTTCAAAGGACAGGAGCTGCAGGTGTACCTGTCGTCCGCCTGGACAACTTGGTTGAAACATCGCGACGCATGTCCAAAGGTGTTTGTTTGTACAGTTGGATTGGATGTAATGCCAGGGTGTGCCATTGGGGTCATGGTCCTGTTCTCAGCCTCCCTTGCCGGTTCTTATTGGACCTCTCTCCAGGAGACAGGCTACTCTCCACTCTGGCTGCTTGGAGCCCTGGGTCTGCAGCAGCGCTGCTGGTTTTCTCCGTGGACGCTCCGAAAGAAATTGTCTCTGCGTGTTGAGTTCTGTGTGGCTCAGGGTTGTTTTGAGCCAACAGAGTGAATTGTGTGTTTTTCTTGGACCATGTTTGCTTTCCTTCATCCGGCTCCAAGATCACGAGTTGAACATTGTCCCTGAACGTGCATCCGGCAAATGCGCTCTAACGGTGCATGTCCCACGAGACAGCGGGCACAGAAACCGTGTGAACTCAAAGCCTTACCTTTGCTTCCTCTCGTGGAACATGTTACTCGTTCCCTTGAATGGACATGGGGAATTGTGGTGAGTTGGTCGTCCCCAAACCAGCTCACTGCCAATGATAGGCAGTTGCTCACATGACATGTTTATAGAAGCGTGCGCGTGCACACGTACGCGCATGCGCGCACGCACGCGCGCGCGCGCGCACACACACAAACACCCACGCACCCAGGCACCCAGGCACCCACGCGCAGGTTGCACTCTGGCATTTTGTAGCGTAAATGTGACTATGTGACTTGCGCTCCAGCTCCAGCTGGAAATCGTTCTAAGATTAAGGCAAACGCTACTTACGCGCGAAATGCATCTAGCCGATCCGATCTGAGAGGTCTTGTGTACAAATATGTCTGAGTTGCCCACCCAATGCCCACCCAAGGAATCCGCAGCTTGGTGCAAACGCGGCCCACAAAGCACTGCTGATGTTTGGAGCAAGACAATGTTGTCAATGAGCAGCGTGTGCTTGCAGAGGAAGTTTGGTATCATGTTTGAGCGTGATATTTTATGCCATGATCTGAACCTGAGCAAAGACTTGAGTAGCTGCGCGCGGTCCCCTCCGAAGAGCAAGGACGACGGTCAAGCAGAGCTTATACCCAGGTACACTCCATGCCCAAGAAGCCAGCACACATTGCGATGAAGACGCAACTCTTTGTCGGTGAGTACGCTACATCGCCTTTACTGCGCAACACTTCCCATCCTCCACCCATGTTCTCTGAAATAGAGCGGCAGGCAGCATGTTGCTTTCCTTGGCACAGTGCTGCAATCAAGCCTCAATTCCCTTTGCTGTGTCAGAGAGAGCGAGAGAGAGAGGGAGGGATAGACCACCAAGGAACTTGCAGCCGCGAGCAGCGCGCCTGAAGAACCTTCTTTGGGCGCGTCGTCAGCTGAATTGCAAGAGCAAGATTTGCTGGAGCCGCGGCAGATGACATCGATGTCTACTCGGCTGAACAATGCGGGGAAGCGGCCCGACTTTGCCCGCGCAGAGAGTGGCCCGGAACATGAGCAGAAGGAAGAGGTGGCTGGAGGTATTCAGCCTGATCAAGCTGCGCAGTCTTCCTCCAGCGACGCCAGCCGCAGCAGTCCCAGCGGCACCAGCAGCGCCAAGGAAAAGGAAGCTGAGAGTGAGAGCCTAGCAAACGTGCCGGGCTTAAGCTGCGATGCCAGCACGCCTCTGCCCCAGGAAGCTGGTAGTCCATGCGAAACAAGTGAAGCAGGCCTGGGTGTACCAGGTGACGACTGTGCCAGTAAAGGCAATCTGGGGCATGAGGCAGACGTTGGCGGCGCAAGCTCAGTGAAGCAGCAACCAGTTGGTCAGGCGGGCCCTGGGCAGAGCAGAGGCGGGCGAGAAGCTTGGGAGGGGGCCGCCCAGCCAGCAAGCTGCGCAAGCAGCGAAGACCCTTCAGGCGGCTATCCCAGGAGCTCCGAGAAGCCAGAGGCAGGGCAGGGCAAGTTCGCAGGAACGCGAAGCAGTGTGTCACGCGGAGCAGCTGTTGACGGCATCAGAGGGAGCAGCGGAGCAAATGACAGCACCAAAAAGGGTCGTGGGAATGGGGCCAAAGGCTGCGGCTCCAGAGACCACAGAGCGGTTGGTGCTGTTGGAGGCGGCCTTGTGCAGCCTGCAAATGCTGGAAGTTCTAACAACAACCCCGAGGCACGCAGTTACCGTGGTGACAGTGGCAATGGCAGCAGCGGCGATGGCCCGCGTCCCCACCCTGTTGGCGGAGGAGGAAGAGACGGCCGCGTTGGCGGCAATGGCAGCGGCAACAGCGATGGCCAGCGCCCCCGCCGTGGCGGAGGAGGCGGAGGAGGTGGCGGTAGCGGCGGCGAGGGCGGCAATGGCAGGGGCAGCCAGCGCCCCCGCCGTGGCGGAGGAGGCGGAGGAGGTGGCGGTGATGGTGGGGACGGCGGCAATGGCAGCGGCAACAGCGATGGCCAGCGCCCCCGTCGTGGCGGAGGAGGCGGAGGAGGCGGCGGTGACGGTGGGGATGGTGGCAATGGCAGCGGCAACAGCGATGGCCAGCGCCCCCGCCGTGGCGGAGGAGGCGGAGGTGGCGGCGACGGTGGCTGGCATCCTAGTCAACCGCTCATGGCGGAAGAAGCGATTCAGGCCGTTTAAGGGAGTTTCGTTCTGCCTTTGCCCAATCCCTTTCCGTGCGCAACACGCAGGCAGGCACACAGCCATAAGGACACAACGACACAAACGCAGACACTGACACTGAGACATAGAGAGAGACGGAAACACCCGCAGAGACAAAAAGAAACGCGCGCAGAGATGAACTAAAACACACAAAGACGCACTGGGACACAAACACAGAGAACCAAAGACAAGCAGTATCCAGCCACACACACACACACAAATACACATACACACATACGCACAGACACACGCACGCGCGCGCACACACACACAATACAGACACGCACAGATACACACAGAGAGGCAAAGAGACACACAGGGACTGATACACACACACACAAACGCACACTTACACACACGCACGCACGCATGCGCACACAAGCACACACACACACACACACACACACACACACACACACACCGCGCCGCGCGCACGCACGCACGCACGCCGCACGCACGCACTCACTCCGCACGCACGCACGCACGCACGCACGCACGCACGCACGCGCGCGCGCACGCACGCACGCACGCACGCACGCACGCCCGCCACCCCCACACCCACACCCCCACACCCCCACACCCCACACCCACACTTACACGCTTACACACTTACGCACACACAAACCACAACACACACACACACACACACACAACACACCACAACACACACACACACACACACACACACACACACACACACACACACACCACACACACACACACACACACACACACACACACACACACACACACACACCACAACACACACACACACACACACACACACACACACACTCACACACCACACACACACACACACACACACACACACACACACACACACACACACACCACACACACACACAACACACACACACACACACACACAACACAACAACACACACACACACACACACACACCCACGCACGCACGCACGCACGCACGCACGCACGCACGCACCCACGCACGCACGCACGCACGCACGCACGCACGCACGCACGCACGCACGCACGCACGCACGCACGCACCCACACACACACACACACACGCACGCACCCACACACACACACACCCACCCACCCACGCACGCACGCACGCACGCACGCACGCACGCACGCACGAACACGCACGCACGCACGAACACGCACGCACGCACGAACACGCACGCACGCACGAACACGCACGCACGCCCGCACGCACGCACGCACGCACGCACGCACGCCCAGACACACACACACACACACACCCACACGCGCACAGACACACACACGCACACACACACACCCACACACACACACACACGCGCACGCGCACGCGCGCGCCCGCACACTTGCAGTCACCCCCCACACACACACCCACACCCGCACCCACACGCACACGCAAACGCACACGCACACGCACACGCACACGCGCGCGAACTCGCACACGCACACACAGAGCCATGTGGAGACGCGCGCGCACACACACACACGGAGCCCGAGACACAGGGACCAACGCAGAGACACGCGCACACAGACACACAGACAGACACGCACACACACGCACAGCCGCCAAGAGAAAAGCAGCGACAACCAGGGAAAAGCAGCGACACCCCACTCGCACACAGGCACACACAGAGACGCACTCACGCGCGCACGGCGCGTGCCTTTTCACGAATTTGCAGGCACGAGCGCAGACACGTGCACATGCATCAGTCCTTGCCTATGGCCTCCCGCTTTTGCTCCGTCAATCGCATTTCAGGATGTCTTGTCATTGGCGGCTAGCCTGATGGCACTGCGTATACTGGTAGTCGTCGGCAGGCCTGGTGGCCCTGCAAAGCTAGCAATCACCAGCGCATGAATAGTGTGTGTTTGTGGTCTGTGCTTTGACTTTATTCACCTCAAGAGTGTTTAGCGCTCCACATGGAGACATGGGACTCCCCAACTGAAGGACGCCAAAAGAGTCGGACACTGAACGAGTTCTAACAAACAGGTTCCAACTTGCATCACAGTGTCATGAGAACAAAGTTGTAGCTTTAGTATGTTAGAATCCTGTTGCCCAAACATGCAAGCAGGCGAGCCTATTCCCAGACTTGGTCGCCCAAGCTCGCCCAAAGCGCCGCCTTGAAGCACTCCTAACTCCAAGCGAAACGAAGCCTAAGTTCACTCGACACAAGTTCCAAGCCTACCTTCAACAAACCAACACCAAGCAAGCAGCGCGGCAGCAGCAGCAGCAGCAGGTTTCAGCAGGTCAGCAAGCTCGGCCCTATGTTGCCAAAGCCTTCATGTTCAGTTGTTGTGGAGGTGCGAAGCGAGTTGGACGGCGAGGGAAGGGTGCTTTGTCCGGATGGAAAGGCTTAGCCTTCGCCATGTTTCTACTCTCCTTGGACTTGCCACAATGATTGCTGTGGTTGTTGCTTGAACACTGGGAGACACTACCTTCACTTGAACCAAGGAAACATTGCAATGGTGTGGTTGTCTCTTTGTGTCCGCTGTGTCTCAGTGTGTGCGTTTGTGTGTCTCCATGTCTCTGCGTCCCTGTGTCTTTGTGTCGACTGCGTCTGAGTTTCTCTGTGTGTCGGTGTCGTTGTGTCTTGTCTCGGTGTCCTGTTGGTTTTCCTGTGGCCAGGGAGCCGAAAGAGGCCATCCATCTCCAATCACTTTTTTAGCCTCAGGGCCCAGACTACGAAGGCGCCTGAACGGTGGATGCCTGTCTGGCGTGAGGATGAGGTGTATCTTTTTCGGCGGAACCAAAAGGAAATATGTGGCCGTTCTAGGGTCCTCCCACTCTTTTGAGACAAGCCGTGTGTCTGTTGCGACCCGAGGCAAACCTGGAACGGGAAGTGCCCGCATCCAAATCCGTGCGTGTTCGCCTTGTTGTGTCTGAAGGGGCTCCAGCATCACAATGGAACGCAACAAGGGGTGCTACCCCCTGACGACACTGCCCTGACGACACATGTATGTTTTATATGTATATGGGGTTTAGGTGGTCAGCCCTCTCTTTGCACAGAACAAACCCCGTGGTGTGGACACGGCGTGCTTGTGTCCTGGAAGGCAGACCAGGGTGGTGATCGAGCTCGTGAAGATTGCCAGAAGGGCGCCAAGGAAGGCGGCTCTGGCACTGACTTGAACAAGACCCAGACCGGAGCAAAGTTCGAACGTCAGACCGCATGTTCCGAGAGCTTTGCGCAGCCTCCGCAAAGCTGCCAGGCCCTAAATCACACAGCAACTGGAGCATCTCTGAAGGTGGAGCACCAGGTGAAAGCCAACACAGGCATCCTGGCAGATGCCAAGGCCTTGACGGCCACAGAGACCGGAGCTTCTGGCTTTGTTGATGCGTATACTGTAGGGGCCACTGGCATCCAGGCAAAAGCCGCAGCACTTGAAGTGAAGTTGACTGGAGCGGACTTCTCCGTGAAAGCATTCACTGCGGACGCCACGGGCCTGCAGGTTTCTGCTAAGGCCCTGAACTTTAATCACGACAATCTCTCTGCCAGCTTGACCGCCCTTGCCGCATCGGCCAAAGGTGTTGACGCTAGCGCCATGGCGCTGACCAGCAGCAGCACATGCGTGTCTGCGTCCATGACACTTTTGGATGCCAATGCTCTTGGCGCTGCGGGGAGTGCCAAGGCCCTCACATTCACACACAAGACTGTGTCCTTGAGCGCAGATGTTGGCAACGCCAATGCTACAGGGGCATCGGGTTCTGCCACTGCCATGCAGATGGACATGGTCGGTGTGGAGACCAACCTAGGAGCTCTCAGCGCGAAAGCCACCGGAGCCTCTGCCTCTGTCAACTGTGGCAACGTGAAGGTCAACCTTGTCTCCAACAGCGTTGACTTTGCCACGGCTTCGGCCTGCGGCGCCAGCTCCTCGGTGAAGGCTGGCAAAGTGAACCTCCAGCCTGACGGAGGCTCGAAGAAGGCCTTTGAGGCCACTGCCATGGGGGCGATGTCCACTGTGGATGTGGGGCCAGAGTTCCTGCCTGACATTCCACTGGGGAAGGCCGCTGCCTTCGGGGCCGTGCTGGGCGTGACCTTCATCCCAATCCCCGCGCCTCCAATCCCTTTTGCCTTTCCGATTGCCATCAACATCTTCAAAGCCAGTGAGACACGCGGGAACGATGGAGACACCGAGGGAAAAGGTAACAAGGGAGACAATGGCAAGGGCCAAAAAAGCGGGGGCGATGACAGTGGTGACAAGAAGCCTCCCAGCAACCCCAAGTCTGGCAAAGAGGCCAGGGATGATGGAAAGGAAAACCCAGAGCGGCGGCAGCCTAAAGATGCCTCCTCAAAGCCGCAAGCAAAGCCATCCTCAGAGCAGTCTTCGTCCTCAGCCTCGGGCAGCAACGACAAGAAACAGCCACGGCCTTCAAAGATGGAAGGGAACGGAGCAAGCCTTTTTGATGAGCTAGCGGCGTTACTCAGCTGCACTGGGTATTGAAAGCTTCTTCGCTTGTCCAAGCTGGAGTCTCTGTCACTTTTGAAGACTTGTGAAGATGTTGCGGTCGAGTTGCAAGTGCAATACCCAACTTTCAGCTTAGTGCGTTTGCAGCTTCTGGAAACTCAGACTAGTGTGCCCTTTTCAGGTATCTAGTGTTCACCGGCAGCAGTTCGAAGCCGCGTGACGCGTCCAAGGATGTTTGAGCCCTCAAAGGCGCAGGATCGGGAGCCGGAGGCGCAGGCATCTGGTCGTGCCCAGCAGGACTCGGGCCAATCTCACGCTGGAGACTGCAGGGACTCCTTCGGTGTGAAGGTCAAGGCCGGGCACGTGAAGCCACGAACAATCGCATGGCGATTGTTGTTCTTCTATTGCAATTTCTTGACATATGCCTTTGTTTGAAGAGTCGCCAACCCTTTGGGCATTCTGAGAAAGTCCTGTGCTGTCAGTATGGAAGGTGGTTCGAGGCCTGAGTGATGTGAGCTTTCCAACCAGCGATCCCAAAAGCAACGCCATCCTTGCCTGCTCGCGTCTTTGGCATGGAAAACGCGTCGTTTCCACCAATTTCACAAATTCAGGGCGGAACTTCGTGGAACACAACCAGAAATCCGCGGAACACGGGCGGAAATTCGCATAGTTCGTGAAATTTGGCTCAAGCTACACACATTCAAAAGCATCGGGCCCCGAACTTGAGCAGAAATCAGCGAACGCGGGCGAACATTCGCGCAACTCATAAAACTCAGGTCGCGCTACGAGATTCGACAGATTCGGGCGCCGAACGCGAGCGGAAGTTCGCGCAACACATCGCAACCGGCGAAGATGCTCGAAATGCGGTCTGAACTTGCAACTGCGAATTTCAACGCGGGCGGGCATACGCATTTTGCTCCGACCGGGATGGCATCCTTGCCAACAGGCGTTGGATTTGGAGACGAAATGGAATTTGCGGGGCTGCGTCCGAAGTAAAACTTGTGGCCAAAGTCCTTGTTCGCGATGTGCCTGATTTGCGGGACTCTCCAAAAGGCGTCTGAACTGGTCTGAGCCAGGTCTGAAACCAGTCTGAAACATCGGAAATGATCACCCCAACTCCTGCTGCTCGCCTGCCTTGAGAAGGTTCAAAACATGGTAATTCAGAGCCAAGTTTGAAAGAATCCCCCCCCCCGACACAGGGAAGTGTCAGGATCCCCGGAAAAATTTGAACAATTTCCGGGGATGGGAAGGAGGATTTCTAAGGAGGGAAGGGCATGGGATAGGTAGGGGTCAGACCAAATCGGTCAAAGCTCTTCTTTCCGGCATGTCTCAAAAAGGTTGCTAGTCCGAGTCTGAAACTCAAACAAAACAAGCGGGCGGTGTCTACCCCCGGAAAATTTGGAAGAATTTCTGGGGATGGGAAGGAGGAGACCAAAGGAAGGGAAGGGCGCGGGATACAGGAAAAATTGCGCAGAGGCCTTTCTGGCGTGAGCAAAGCCATGTCAGTCTCAATCATAAACTTGCGTAACGTTCCCGGTTCAAGAGAGGTTCGGTTCTTGCATTGGTCGATTCTGAGCACCAGCTGTTATGTACAGGTTCGGTTCTACACGGTTCGGTCCCGGAGCGGTTCAAAGCGATTCGATTCTGAAAGGGCTTCGATTGCCGTTCTTTATTCGATTCTATGCCTCCCCGACAGTAGGCTAGCTATCCTCAGCTCTAGTGTTTCCTTTTTGAAGGTAACAAGAAACAAAGGCTTTCGCACCATCCGGCATCGTCCAGCGCTATTTAGGAGGCAGATCGAATATCCCAAGCCTCAAAAACAAGATGAGGACAATTAACACGGTTCCTCAGGATTTTTCTCCGGGAAAGGCCTCTTGTTTTCGCAAGTGTGTTTTTCTCCTGGCCTTTCATTCTACGCATGTGAGTTCTCCATCCTTGTTTCTATTGGTAGTAGAAGTTACTACTAAGGATTCCCAGAGAGCCCTGGCTGGTTGACAATTGAAAACATATTTCCTGCGGCGTGATCAACCGGTTCCACAAGCAACAAGCGTAGATCCGCAGCTCGGGGCTACAAAGGCCTCATCCATAGTGCTGGGCGTATTTGTGTTGCCAGCGGACGGCGTGGAGTCCTGAAGTCGTGACTTGTCGCCCAGGAACCGCCGCATTTGCCGCCCCAGCGCGCGGAGAACGAGTCTTGTAGCTCCAAGGCGCGGGCGACAGGGCTGCAAGGGATCGTTGGACTGTTGCATCCCTCCGGCATCGTCGCTCAGATGACGGAAAGCCAGGCTTTTCTAGTGCAAGGAGGCAAGGTAGGTATTTGGCGTTCGGAGGGGGGCCACCATAGCTTGAACCGCACAACTGGACAACCTTTGTATCTGCCATTGCATAATTGGGGCAATTGCACGCGTCATGGATTCATGACCGAACCCCGACTTTTCTGACGGTCAAGAGGCCACGTCCCAGGAGCATAGTTGCCATTGAAAGCCTGCGCAATAGCAATACGCCGGGTCACAGAACTCAGACGTATGCGACCCGGCCAAGGCTACGCCAAAGCCGGCTCTTGGCTGCGCCCTTGAGTTGCCTTGCAGGTACCAGAGCAGCCTTTGAAGAAGGCATACACCGCGAAGACGGGACCCGATCAAAAGCCTGGAGAAGCCCCTGCATTGAAGTCAAGCAAGAAGGGGGAAATCAGCAAGCCTCCCAAGGTCAAAGGAGAAGCTGTCAGGAAACAAGCGCAAGGAGGCAGTTCATCCATGTCTGGTGATCAAGTTGGCTCTTCTTCGGAGGCGAAGGACCAGCAGAAATCCCAAAAGGATCACCCGGTGGTTCCTGACAAACTGCCCACGACAGGCACCACATCCAAGCAGCAGAGTGACAGCCAAATCCCAAAGTCGCGGATGTGTGACGGCAGCTCGACCCAGAATCCTTCCACAGACGCCATGGGGAAGGCAGACAGGGTGGAAGATTCGCCCTTTGCGGAGACGCACTCTCAGGAGCCCAAGAGCAGTCCCAGCCTTGAAAGCCAGTCGACTGGCTCAAAGCTAAACCCCCCAAAGCCCGTCAAGGTGACAGAGGAGCATTTTCGAGATGTTCCGAAGGAGGATCCCATTCACAAATTTGCCAGGCATGATGTTCGCAGCGATCAGCAGCAGGAATGGCAGAAGAGAAAGAACCAGGCCGAAGCCCAACAGAAGCAGGCTCCCAAGCAAGGAGCAAGCAAAGAGAGCTGCGCCAAGGAGCCTCGCACATATCAAGCGGCAGCAGGCGGGGAAGCCTTCTATGATCCCAAGCTCCAGTGCTACTTGCCGAAGGACCTGAATTCTGCGGCGGACCGTGACGCGGCCAAGGCGCTAGCCTTGGACAGGGTGCTGAAGACCAACGAGAAAAGAGTTAGGAAGGAGCCTTGGTTGCCCTTAATTGTGTGACCTTTTCGCCTTGGAAGGATTATCCTAGGGCAGCTGCCCGGGTTGGCTGCTTGCTCACCCACCCTTCCCACTCCTATTACCCATCCACTTGTGCTTTCGTGTGCGCGGTGTGCGCGGGCGCGAGCGTGCCGCGAAAGAGTGCATCACAAGCCAATGAGGCAAAGACTTCATGCCCAAAACCCCGCCATCCCCGAAACAAAAAACGGTATTTGCGTGCTTTCCGCAGATGGCGGGCGATTGTGGGGATGTTGGTGGGGCGGGGCTGGCCTTGATGTTGACGATTTTCAGTAGGTTTGGCAAAACGGCATTGGAGTGCCGGGGATGTTGGGGGATCTCAGCCGATTACCCCAATCTCAAAGGCGCGCATCGCAGCTGCATTTTTCAGAAATCCTCGAAAGACCGAGAATTCTAGCAGAATACGTCTACGTTCTGTTGCTGGCTTTTGTCAGCGGGCGTCAACTATATGGCAATGACAGAGGAGCATACTTGAGCTTCCCTCATCGATTGGTAGGAAATCGTATCGAAACCATGTGGTCATAGGAGTTCATGTTCCGGACGAGTTTTCTGGTGTCTTATCTGCAGCCGTGATAGCATGATGGCGTGGTGGTGGCGGTGGTGGTGGCGGTGGTGGCGGTGGTGGTGGTGGTAATCAACTTCACAAGGTGAAGGCGCTGCAGGGGGTCTCGGCGAAAAAATGCTGCCAGCTTGTAGGGAGGGAACCTTGCGCCGCGAGGCATGAACTTGTTCCATTTGCAGTGTGCCGTTGGGACACCGCACACTTGAAGGGGTGTTGAGAGAAGGGCGCTGTTGAATGTTAAGGACAGCCCCGATGCAAAACGCAATGAAGATTGCGTGCGGCAAGTCAGTAGGGTTTGATTGATAGCTACGGCAGCTGCGCGGCGCACGCGCCCGATTCACGCACGCACGCGTGCAAGCGCCCGAGCGCAAGCAGCAGGGGCTGGCCCATGACAGCGCGGACTGACACCTTCTTGCGGCTTAGCATTTGGCAGGTGTGCGCAGCGCTGAGCGGACGCAGTTGAGCGGGTGTTCTTATCATGCGGCAGGCGTGTGGTCCTGACGGTTCGCGCAAGTAGCCATTGATGCGCCAGTTATTGAAGCTTCTGGTTCCCAAAAGATGTTGGCATCAAGCGCCGCTTGCTTCTCAAAGTCGCTGAGCCACCGGGTTTCGCCCACCAAACGCATGTGATTTGGACATAAAACAGCACCAATCCATTGTTGCGCGCAGTGGCTTTTGCAAAGCGCCACGCTCTTGCCAGCGCTGCCATGTGAGCAGGGTTCGTAACACAACGACTCCCCGCAAAAGGAAAACACCACTAAGCCTTTGTTGGAGGCAAGTCTGTCGCGTAAGCGGTTGGGCGGGACTGGATTTTTGGCAGTGAGTGGAAGGGGTTGTTTTGCGTGGTGAGCAGGCAAGCTCAGGCCTTCGAGGCTAGTTTGGATGAAAAACATTGCTGGATGGCGCTTGGCTCAAACGCAAAGACTAATGCCGATTTGAGGTTGGTTGGTCCTTCCCAAGGAGTGAAGATCACAAAAAACGGCTAACTCGTTCTTAGCAGGTGCCACATGAACAAATTAGCCGTTTGTTATTTGCAAATGCCGTTTTGAGGTTGGTTAGTTTCCAAAGCTTTTCTCGCAAACGCAAAAACGAATTAGCAAGCACCGCGATTTACAATAAAATTGTGCCACGAATGTCGTTTTGAGGATGGTCACCTTCTAAAACCTTGCTTGGGAGTGAAGAATGTGCAAGCCACAATTAGCGCGCACGGCTATTTGGGTTTCCCGCAGAAGCCCCATGGTGTGGCGCAGCGCCAGAAAGGCAAAAACGAAAAAGATTGGGTGTCGTAAGGGGCTTTCTTCGGATGAGCCGCGCGCAAGCTCGCGCAAGCACCTTTGCGTAAGAGTTCCTTACGAACTAGATTTGAATAAGACCTTTTATACGCCGCTCATGCGGGTTCAACCAGAATGCTGCGACTTCCTTGTTCTGCGATGTGCCATTGGAAACAACTTGACTAGAACCTTTTGATGCCTCAGCAGCCAAGACTATGAAGGAGGGACACCCGTAATTCCTAGGCCCCTAAAGTCTAAGACGGTTTCCTGCGTCTCTGATTGTGATGTTCAAAGTCTGCAAGCCTGTGCTGCAGATTTCCCCTGCCTAGCTCCAAGGAGGTCTTGGCAGGCAGCGGGGCCACCACGCTGGTTGCAGAAACGTCGCGTGCGACGGCTGAGTGAGCAAGCGCAGTCACCAATGGGACATGCAACCATGCGTCTCTCAGCACGCGTGGCCTGCACGCATGACCGACTATGCGTGATACGGCATTCATGACATGGCGCGTGTGATTTCACTCTCCGCGCAAAAGCATGATGGTCGCGCGCGTGACCGACCATGCCTGATGTGATGCGGCAGCGGTCGGTCGGTCGTAGCACCCTCCGGATCGGCCCAGCCTGCACGCTGGTTCTTTGCAAATTTACCGACAGCTTAGTGCACTGG